GGTGTGTGCCACGTGGCGCGTTTCGCGACGGTGCTCGACGTATCTGGAGGGAAAGCAGTTTCCCAAGTTCTCTTTAGCCCCATGAGAGCAGCCGGATTCAAAGGCGCAGCCTGGACAATAGGAGTCAGCAGACCATGCGGCGTCGGTGCGCGTAAAATAGGAATGCGCGAGGGAACGTTGAAAAGTAAAAAGGGCGCCGGCGCAGGTTGTTGAGCATGAAGCGCAGCAGCAGCCGCGGCAGCTGCAGCTGCTGAGGGAGGTGCCATGGCATAGGCAGGAAGTTGGTGCTGTGGATTCGGTCCGGGAAGAGCGAGCGTTTTGGTCGTGACCGACGAAGTTGGGGAAGCAGGAGTGGTAGACGTAGGCGGTGGATTCGAGGCTAACGCCATCAGCCAAAAATCTTGGTTTCGCATTGCCTGCGCTTGAGCCTGCACCTGTGCTTGAGCTTGAGCCTGTACTAACGCGTGAATGTCCCAGAGGGGTGGTTGCGCCGTCGGCACCGGTACCGGCACCGGCGTCGGCGGAGGCGGATGTGTCAATGTTGCGGGAGTTTGTGTGGTCAACGTACCGGGTGATAGCAGGGCCTTGGTTGACGGTGGAGTTACTGCACCTGTTAATACCAGATTCATATCGTCTCCGCTGCACTGGAACACTTCGATGTACCGCTGCTTTTTCCCGTATATCATGTACCGATGATGTCGTTGCGAAGCACACGCGTACGCTGAACTTTCACTGTCCATTTGAATGAACGCCTCGCCAGAAGGTTGACCCTGAATAAGTAAAAAGAACAGCGCGTTAGTTATTTATTCACAGGAATACGAGCCAGTCGTAACATAATAGACAGAGGTGTACACGTACTTGAGCATTGTAAACCATATGAACACCTTGGTAGACGATATTCTTAGAATGTTCGCCCATGAACTCGAGAATGTGCTCTACGAGAGCTTCGTAAGGTAGACCGCGTAATCTAACGCAATCTTTACGCGTACCGGAAGTGATAATGTGTTGTGGAAGTATAGGAGGAAGCTGTGGAATGGGTGGCGTCGGAAGAACCACTTGTTTCGGGTCAATCGCCCTATTCAAGACCTACGAGTCACGAAAATCAATACGTACGTTAGAGATATCTATTTTTACTTCTTTCATTCTACTTTTATACCCGCATTATTTCTACGTGCACACACCTGTTGCACCTCGGCGATCGTACTTCGAAAAAGTTCAATGTACCGACTACCAATGCAATCCCTGTGTTTGCTCAAGGCCTTTACAGCATCTTCTTCTTTCGCAAAAAGAACGAAAGCGTCTCCGGTTGCTCTGCCATCTGGTTTCTTTACAAATAAGACCCCGTCCTCCCCATCTAATACATGGCAAGGCTTTTGCCCCGTTAAAAAGAAATCCAACTGAAAAAAAAAGTAATGCAAGCATGAAGTGAAGACCGAAATCACGATAGAATATATAAAAAAAAGGGAATTTTTTGCTGCTGTTTTAATACACACCACTTGTTTAGCAACACAGTCATATGGCAAGCCTCTCATTCTAACAATAACTTGAGCTCCTCTTGATAAAAATGCATGAGCTTCTCCACTGGTTCCTCCAGCAACACCTACAAAATCTTCTCCAGATGCCTTGTAAACTTCTATGTACCTCCCACCCATATGATGTTTGTGTCTCTTCAGTGCCATGTCTCTGTGTTCTTTATTAACAAACCGTACTAATGCTTCTCCGTTACGTCTTCCCATAGGACTTAAACACAGAGCTACACCACCCCTACAAAAACATTAAAACATTTCATTTAAATTATATTATAACATAAACCAGTTTTCAGATTACTGTATATTAAACAAATGATAAAAATATATTTATATACAAATACAGTATATATTATACAGCAATGATCATGAGAATTATTGATAAATTTGTACGATTCATAAGATTCATGACCCCAGATAATAGTTATCATTGCATAAGATGAACACAAACAACCAAGGAAATATTTAAAGACATTGTTTACTATCCTATATAAAGTAAACACTACTATTTTATTATATTTGAATAACCATCCGATATTATCTGGCAATGATATCAGCGACATAAGTTTATTTACATATTAAATATGAGACTTTACCTTTTTTACATGAATCCAAGTGGCTTGTGCACAAATATCGTAATAGTTATTACAATTTATTTTATACACTCTCCATCTTACCCCTAATATACATAAGATCCACTTACTTGGCAACATTTAGGCCCCGAAAAAATTTTGCTATATCCTGATCAGATGATTGCCAAGGAAGACCTCGTGCTCTTACAACACAGCCATTATCCACTTCTTCATCTTTTGAGCTGCAAACATAAAGTCAATGCAATAAATTCAAATGTATTACTGTACAATTCTGCAACAAATAAACAAGAGACTTACCATATACCAGGTTCTAGAACAATATTAACTACTTCAGGATTCTGGAAGATGTGCCCTGCAATGAGAATATCATTATGAACAAAAATATAAAAGTATTTAATGAAAAGCAAACAAAAAGTATGGACACATGATTAACCTCTGGGGTCGATGTCGCCCATACTCGATCATAACCATGACTCATTTCGGTTCGAAAAATGATTACAATACAATTTATGTCGATTTAAATCTTCACAACAATCAATTTTAATACAAACGAAACAAGTTGACTAAGCTAATAAACTCATCACAGAAATTCTTTCGTACGTTTTTAAATTCACTAAACTGTCATTTACTTCGCAACATATTTACGGAAATTTTAAAATTAATTTTCCCGCGCAAAATAGGATCATTGTTTGAACTTCAAACTTAATGCGATCTAACCTTATATGTTATTTTATCATTCAAATCTATGTATTCTTGTTAATATTAAATATTACCTACTTCAAATAGTTATTCATTATACAAGATAACATCGATAACATTTCGATATTATCGATAACGGTAGCTGTAGTTCCGACACTAAAGCTCGGTCGCTTACGCGTTTCCTTTGTAATAGTACACGGGCGAGTTTGTCTCCGATTTCCCGTGCTGGCGCAAAATGTTCACTTTCAATTTGCCTACTCAGTGTAACGTGTCAGCACACCTTTCAAAGAATTTTCATGCCTCATGAATCGAAACTTCTTTCATTATTTCTACTGTTTTCAACACATCCTAATAATAACGTTCCGATTTCCGAGTACAAAAAATTGACAAAATGAAGCGTGGCGAAAAAGATAATGCTTCGTATTTTGATAATAAAGCGTATGTACGTGTCTTCGAAAAGGCAACAACCGTTTGTTGTTCGTCGAACGCGCATGCATCTGACAGTAGCACACAACGTACACATTATTCGACCGGAACATTATTTCGAACTGAGCACCACTGTGATAAGAAGTATTATGGCCGTCACTGCTTATAGCATTACATGGCTTGACCCGTACTTATAAACCATGAACACGCACACAAAGAAACGGACCTGAGACGTACACTATTCCGTCTTCCTTTTCGTTTCAACCTCTTGTTCCCTCTTTTTGTCCCCTTTGCATTCGCTAACCTTCCTTCGTTCGTGTGTAACACGAGTGGGGTTAGGTATACAGAATTTAAAACGACATGATTTTGAACGTGCCGAACAAACATTTTACGTCAACTTATTTCAAAATTAATCATTGAAAATTTTATACAAAATTCTAGCAGAGTACTCTTACAGTCAATAGACCGTGAAATTATTCCGAACGTCAATGGAAGACTAATAGAATTCCGTATTCGTAAAGTGACTGTCACGCTACCGTACATTACGAATAACGTTTTCCTTGAAACGAAGAAGCGACAAATATTTCTTCTTTTTATACATGGCATAATATTACATATGTAGAAACTTCGTTCACCGAAAAATGTCGCCTTGAAAGACTCGCGACCTTGTCCGTTATGGGTGAAAAAATGGAAGACATGATCTAGCCACGTGCTCAACGAAGCTGAGGAATTAATTTTGTAAGCCCGTATCTCTGTACGCTCTTCAACGTACAATCGAAAATCGAATCGATCATGATTAGCCCTGCGTTTACTTCGAAACCGAGTGTCAAGCGGCACACAAACCGCGTACATCGATTGCGTACAGTCAAGATAATTTATCGTACGTGAACCTTAATCTTCGAGTTATAATTGCAGACTTTTTTGCTCGTTGTGAAAACGAAAAAACCGTTGTATAGGTTACAAAAATAGAACTTTTTTGCACGAAAAATTTTACTTACCATCCTTGATCATTCTCTGTATCACACATATCATATCCTGTATCTCTTTTACATGGTAATCGTTCTCGGTATCCGATGGCAAACCAAAATCTGAGTTTCGTTGATTAAGGATAAACTTCGAATAGTATTTAATCGGCGATTTTAAAATCGAGATAGTATTATCGACGCTATAAATTAATATGAAATGGTATTTCCGTAAGATTAAACGGTAAATTGATTATTTATATGTTGATCATAGAATTAGAAATTTATCGTAGTCACGAACGGAGGATCATTAGTTAAAAATATGCTGGGGAACCTAACGAACTTGTTACGCGCATAATTATCGTCAGCCTGTTACCAATATCTCCACCAGAATGACCTTTAAACCGTGTTCCGCGCATGATAAGACTGCGTTGGTTACTTGGTAGGACTTTCTTAAGTTATACGATATTGATACTGACTGAATTTCGATTTCATCTTTTGTTTCTTCCTTTCCGTGTGTGAGATTACAAGACTATTTTATAAGTTACAAATTATTATGATTTCTCAAGTGTACAGGACTTAAGAAAAATGGTGACATAACACCCTTATATTTTTCACAGAATATTAAAATAAATATCTGAGTTATTATAATGCACGAGGATATAAATTTTAGTGACAATAAAATAAAGTTTAATCCAACGCTATAAAAGCTTGTATGTTTTATGTAAACTAGGATAGCTACACCGCCATTTTTCTTAAAGTAACCTACCGAATTGACCCATGTTTCCGCAAGAAAGTATACTGCAATATACACAGTATTGCTGAGCATTTCAAAGTGTTAAAATTAAAACGATGGATCACGACAGAGGTATCGATCGATACGTACAGTGTAACCCAGTAGCCACAGGTGGTTTTGTTTTATTAACACGGGCAGACCACATCAGCGTTGCAAAGTGGAACAATAATCGTGATATACATATCTTGACACGAGCTTAATATCGAGGTTGGATTAGGTAAGTAATCGTGGCGTTATGGAAGAGCCGTTTCCTCTTTTGGATTAAATCTCACGAAATATCTACACCTTTTCATGCAAATGCGGAGGATGGAAAAAACTGAACCGATGTATACACAGTTGTAAAGCCGGTTCTTCTTTTTTTGTCTTTAATGCCAAGGAAAGAAAAATATATAATGAGATGTATACACGTATTATACATATGAATATATATTAAAATACGTAAGAGGCAAAGGTCTCAAATGGAGTCAAATTTCGCCAAACGCAATATTTTCTGACTTTTCACCGGATAGAAAGCAACATAAAGAGAAATCGAACTCAGGAAATTCTTTTAACACGCATTACAAGAAACGTACCTTGGAAGATTGTATTTTATAAAATTGTCAGAACTTCCGGAAGAAATTAAACACTATCACTGTCTTTGATAATTAAACTAACATCACGGTTAAAAGATAACTAATTGGGCGAAATGTACTGTTAGCTAAGAGCGCTAATTCCTCGATACGCACTCTCTGCACTCACTTGCAGACTGACTTTGCACCAGCAGCTAGTTCGTCGCCAGGTTCGTCGAATATGTTGGATTCGACTTCTGTCGCGCCGCCTAACGGCCGCACGCCTTGGAATTCTCTTCGTTTCGACCACAGTCATCACGTCGCCTCTTAAATCTCTCGTATGGCGGAGCCAGGGGGTCTCCGATGACCCACGCCATTTAGACTTTTACATTAATTTTACCACTCGAAAATTTATATTAAAAAATTTGAGTACTCAAATATAATATTCAAAAGTATTTTGAAAGTCTTTAATTTTCAATTTAACTTCTATACGAATCCCATGAATCTTTAATGAACAAATGTCTAAAATTATCCACGTGATGTATGCGCAAAATTTAAATAATGATAGGCCTTTTCGTTTTATGCCAACCACATCGCCTTCTCATAACTTATACTTTCGGCAATTCTATATTATATGTATACGTGGTTTTGGAAAGTTAAAAATGAAATCGTGTGACTTTTTAAAAGGATACAATCCAGCATTTCCTGTATTCCGAGCGTCGCGAGTTCTCCATGGGTGGAATAACAGGCAACAAATTCCTTACGGAGGTCATGAAATAGGTTGTAATGTTCAGGCAGCTCGATTTCTTTGTTGCAGGCTTCGGGATGTAAACACTGTCTCATCGGTGCCTGGCCGTCTACGACGAAACGTGGTGCGGAACCGGATGTCACGCACGACATGGATGACCACCATGCTTCGAACTTTCATTAAAAATGAAATTGTTTAAAACTCACTTTCCTTTATACGTATATCTGCAAAACTTTTCTTCATTCAGTTGAGAAGAATCATTGCCAAGTATCTTCTAAATTAACCTCGACAAATACAAGTACGTTAAACTCTTCGATAACAAACATTGCAGTTTTATTTGTACAACGAATTTTAGCCGACGAGACTGCATATTTTAATATTAATTTCGAGGGAGTTTTGCATTCCTTATTGTCATGTGCAAACAATAGAATTATTTTTAGGTCACGTATTTTAACTACCTGGAGTGAAACCTCACGGTAAAACCGCAATTACCTGTTCGATAGCCTGCTCCAAAGAAATTCCGTGTTCTCGAACTGTTCTTTCGGTTAACGTCGGAGCATGCGCCAGCGCTGCCTCGCTGATGACTCCGCTACTTCCGGCAACCGCCGGATTGTCGCTACCGGTTCCAGGTGTACAACTTTCGTCCATTACCATCGGTCGTACAATATACTGTTGTCTTCCTAACACCTGTAACCATTCATCGTTGATCATTCATATCGTTTAACAATATTTCAAACTTCCAGGAAGAAAGGATACATTATTGCATTATTTGCAATTAACAAATCTCGATGTAATTTTTATCGGAATTTAATATCTAGTTTTAATATTTTATTTAATTTCTATTGGATCTAGTTTTAATTCCAATGTTTCAAAATTTGTAGGAGTTTAAATTCTGTGAGAGTGATTAATATTTGGACCGGGAGTGCGTCACGTGCTCCTGTGACTATGCAACATGGCGTGCAGACTGCCGCGCCGGACTGGTTGCATGCGTGCAGGAGCAATCAAGAATAAATTGTAATATTAAATTCAAACTTTCCTTTTTTGTATAAATATAAAAGTACTAAAGTATCAATTACATCAGAGATCAAGTGGATTAAAACGAGCATATGTACAGAACATAAAAATTAGTAAATAAAATATTTTCAAAGTTTAAGAAATTCGAAAGAAATTAAGAAATTTTTTATTCCGCAGGTGCAGGCAATTAGCGCAATTTTTTCGCTACCTGCCAAGTGTTAGATGCACGTGTCATATCGTTAAAAAAAGAAAGGAAAATTAATTGTATATCATCAGCATTATTGTAACGTAACGCTCAATCGAAAGTCGCAACAGTTGATCGTATACAAGATAGAACTTTCAGCGTTGGAAGATAGAAATCGTTTTTAAGCGACCCGATCGTTTCCGCCTTTGACCGATTATGTAAAAGCTTCGCTCCGCTACGTCCCGTAACGCCGAGATTATCTAAATGAGTTTTAAAAATGGCGTTACTGCGCATCTTCGTAATTATGCGAATCATTAATTACGGGCACAGGAATTTGGATTAATTACTCGGCGGCATGCGAAAAAGATTCAAGACACCAACAATGTTCGGGGAAAATAGAAATAAACGCATTGTAAACAATCGTTTCAACGATCAGCGGACTTTTACCGCGTTACGAATCCGGATAGAAAGTAACGACCAGGAAAAATTGAAAATTTTTGTTAATTACACGCGATTTCTCAATTCGAAATCGAAAGGACAGCGAAATAAATTCTGAATTTATATTTACTTTATACATAGGGTGTACAGAAATACTGCAACAAAATTTATTTTTTAATTTTTGGATAGTGACTTCGACTTTAAAGTGGGAGATTGATTTCAAGTTTAAAGTGCAACATTGACTTCAAGTTTCAAGTGCAACATTGACTTCAACTTTAAAGTACAACATTGACTTTACTTCAACTTTAAAGTGCAACATTGACTTCAAGTTTAAAGTGCAACATTGACTTCAACTTTAAAATGCAACATTGACTTCAAGTTTAAAGTGCAACATTGACTTCAACTTTAAAGTACAACATTGAGTTTACTTCAACTTTAAAGTGCAACATTGACTTCAAGTTTAAAGTGCAACATTGACTTCAACTTTAAAATGCAACATTGACTTCAAGTTTAAAGTACAACATTGAATTTACTTCAATTTTAAAGTGCAACATTGACTTTAACTATAAAGTACAACATTGACTTCAAGTTTAAAGTGCAACATTGACTTCAACTTTAAAATGCAACATTGACTTCAAGTTTAAAGTACAACATTGCGTTTACTTCAACTTTAAAGTGCAACATTGACTTTAAGTTTAAAGTACAACATTGAATTTACTTCAATTTTAAAGTGCAACATTGACTTTAGCTTTAGAGTTAAAGCACTTGAAATTTGTTGAGCGAAACCTGTTTTTGTTTAGAGGTGGATGAGTATTAGAATATGTAGCAAGTTTAATGGAATCCGTGCTACGTAAATCCGTGTTCATGGATGTCACATGACGGTGCGTCAATGTTGGAAACCGTGCAAGAAACTTAATAGGCAGGTTCTTTGACGCGGGGTTAACGGATCAAGGTAGTTCGGTACGATCGTGCCACCGGCTTGAATTATCTTAACCGATAAAACCTCGTGGCGTAACTCGCGACATAAACGAACCAGTATTATATTACGTAAATGTTAATTATCACTTGGAAATCATTTCGATCTTAGGAGTTACTATTTCGTGGATTGGAAAGCACTGCAATCTTGTTAATACAAACTTTTCTACGTTATCTGCATTTTGGTCTTTTTAAAAAATCCAACTTCGATGAATACTTAAAAATATGGATACCAAATTTAACATCATTTTTATTAATTTTAATTTAGCTTCATTTGAACTTTGAAGAAGTAGTACACTTTTTATTATTTCTTAAAGTTACTGATAATTATTTTTGAGGATCAGTTCACATTTTTGGAGGAAGTTCAACCTAGTTTATAGGTACTCTATGTTTTTATTTATGAAGACTTTTTGTTTGAAATATTTTTTAGATGAAGTATATTTACAATTATATTAACACATTATTTAATAATTATTTAAGAAATATTTCAGAGGATATATTAAAGAAGGTATTCTTTATTTTACGATTAAGATTTTTATGAGAACCGCTCCATAAAATTCAGGAGCTACAGGCTGTCCGAATTAAAAGCTTGCTCACCTAAATTCTACCGTTCGAAGGACGCGATAACTGCCAAGAAAGTAGGACAAAGGGTCTGGTTAATATTCCGTCATAAATGTCCTGCTTACACGAACACCGTTCCACATAATCGCGTATATCTGATAGAAGCGCGAAAGATTTACCGGCGATTATGCGCCATCTTGATAAATCCTCATCTCTCGAAAACGATAACTGGAATTAGAAACTGTCCTTGGAACGTACAGAAATCAGCAGCTACGTTTCAAGAAATTGATACGAATGACAACTTTTTTGTTTGTATTTACTCGTTAAGTATTTTTTGTGAGACTTGCAATTAATCAATGGAGGTAAAAAAGTGAAGACATTAATGTTTAGTGAGGGTTAAAGAATATGACCTTATGGATGACCGTCTAAGACTTCTGAATTTTTTGAGATAAAAAGTTTTTGAAGAAGTGATGTTGAATGACCTTGGACTTGAATGACCATAAGTTCTACCAACAACTTAGCATTTATTTTAAAAAGCTAAAAACGCTAAGAAAAAGTGTTTGAAGCCATGAAGAAATTTTCTTGAGAAGTAACCTGGACCGCTGTGTTCTAAGAACGCAGAAAATCGAAGAAACAGGGAAAAGAATGGAACAGTTGGACGTTAGTATGATCGTTGCAAATGTTTGAAGAAGCAATGTAAACATCAGAACGTTTGCAAGAGCTAACGTGATGTTTCTGCTCGTCTCAGAAACAATTCGGGGAAATCACGCGGAGCAAAATCGTTGAAGAACACCGTCGACTGCTTTGCTCGATAAGAACTAATCGAAACGGCACGCGGAAATGCATACAGTAAAAGGGTCATGCCCATAAATCAACGATTGCTTGTTAGAGAGTTCGACTTGGTCGATCAACTTTAAACGCCGGAAACGAATTACAATGGCTACGAGTTGTGCAAGCATTCCCTCAAACGAATTACGAACTCGAATTCGATTCGTTATGAAGATCAAGTATTTACAAGTAATCCTAAGCACGAAGGGTCAAACATTGCGTTCAAACAGTATTTTTAAACCTTCACCTTCAGTATGAAGTAGGACAAATTTATTACGTTCCACTATGTTAGAATTTATTTTAAATTATTACCTTGTTAAGGTAATTATTATCTTACATAATTATTATTATAAGGTAATAATTGTAGAGATTCATCTTGTAATTATTACCTTGTAATTTACAATAGAAAAAATTTGACTTTCCCGCCTTACTGATCCGAGACGCCATTTTGTGTACCTGTCAAATTCTAACAGCACGCTTCATCTTCTGACATGCTACATTGCAAACTATCATGATTCAACGTTACAATATAAACGCTAAAAATTGATGTAAGAAATGCATTAACATCAATTTACATGGATCTAAGCAAAATAGAATTATCACTGAGTGATTACATTGAAAGTAATAATGAGGACTTTAACGCTTTAACGCTTTGTGTACCATTATTATTACAGATCTCAGCTTACTTCGCACAAAATCCGTTTGTTTGTTTATCAGTGACATAATATTCCAGAGTAGACTAAAAATAAAAATTGGACATTGTACACTTTGTGCACCTGAACTTTAAAAAATCTACCTACTTATATGTTAATTAAAAATCAAACTTATTTGTTAATGAAAAATCAAACAGTATAATAAAAAACATTTGTCTAAATTAATTACATAATTTGACGTTTTTTATCAGTATCATAAAAGTCTACCTTCAAAAAAATTTTTAAACGATTATTATAATTTTGTTACTAAAAAAAAATCTGTGCACAGTAACTGTTAGAAACTTGGTTTTAATTGGAAATTCCCGTTGTACAATTTTTGCGAATGACCAAAAAAAAAAGGGATAAATATGCGACTAGTGGAGTAGATTTTTAACCGACCAACATAACGTTCAGTTTCTTACAAATTATAGGTATTACATACAACCTCGAAGTTTTTATCTACTAAGTAAAACCACACACTCGCCGTTTCGCATCTCGAAACACAGCTCTAGCGAACGTAATCTTGCTTTCCAAGCCTCTGAAAGTCAACGTCCTCTCTTTTCACACGTTGAATCTTTACGCGCCAACACCGATTCACTTCGAACAGTATCCAAGCGAGATCAAATTCGTCATAGACTAGCTGCTTCTATTCTGAAATACAACGCTCTTTATCCACTGCAAAATATTCCAGTCGAATACATTCTTTACAAATAATTTAAGTTGTAAATAAGTATAAAAAAATATTTCTAAAATTTCATTAAATTCGTCAAGATTAAAAAATACGTTTATAAATTTAAACTGTAAAATTGAAATAATATTTCTCTAAGTTGCTATCACTTAATTAATGCACGAACTTCCGTATCTACTTAGACGTCAAACAGTAAAGTATAGACCAAATTATAAAGAAAAGAATTAATGTAAATAAAAAGGTCTGTTTCAATTTTAACACCGTGCTGTACGTAACACGGATTATAAAATGTTACGCATCACTGTTTCAAGAGTAAACCGCTAAAAACCAACAAGAATCGCTTTCTTCGATAACATCTAATTGATTACGGGCATCGTCAACATTTAGGTAACGCAGATAATATATCATCGACACGGGTTGCCGCTGATCGACTTTTATTTACATCGATAGTAAAGCTCGAGATGTGGCCAACCTCGAGGTCGTGTCTCGAATCGAAACGATTAGACAATAGGATAGGAGCAAAACAACGCATTGTATCATCGTATTTCCTTGAGAACGTGAAGCATAAAGAAGAGCCGAACCGGCGGCCATTGTCCCCGATCAAAGCTCGATCGGTGATAGCCAGGTATGTGACTCGAGGGGAAAAAGGAAACGACCCTGTTTACCTGGAACTCGGCCGCACTGCAAGCGATTCACAACAAAGAATAAAGAAAACTAGGCGCACCTGTTGCCGCGACGAACCTACAGATTTCTCGAAACGCATCCTGGAAAAATTCGGATCTTTCTAGATTGGAAACACGAGGAGAGAAAAATATAGAAGCGGAAAATGTAAATGGTAATATAATGAATATTGGATCTGTAAAATATAAAGCATGAGAATACGTACAAAGAATGTAACAAGAGTAGTAAGTGTTCTAACATTTTCATAGATCGCAAAACCACGTTTCAGGTCCACAAAAACTGAAAGCCTCGTGCCGGCCCTGAGGAGCACCGCTTCAACATGATGAAAGCAAAAAATAAACGCGAACGAGTTGGATTCCTGAAACTTTTTCCTGGCGTGATACATTACGAAAACCACTGTGAACTTTTTTTCGAAAGAACGGACTTTCTAGCTGAGAAAGTTCAAGAGTAATAATTTCGTATCAAAATTAACGATAAAAGTTTGTAGCGTATAATGAATAGTTTCATAATTACCTGTTGCGGTTGTAACGTGGAAAATTTTAATTATTGTTGCATATTTATGCACGAATAATAAGATTTGTAACCAATTTGAATGATTAGTGTTAATACAGGTAATATGTATTAGATGTAACATCTGAAATCTTTCGTACTTTCTATTCGTGCCTCGCAGCCGTGACTATGGCGAGGCAAGTTTAATGGATAATAAATTCAAATGAAATTAAGATAAGCAAAGGTTCTAAAGTCACAGAAAAAGGATAATCAAGGATAGACTTGATCAAGGAACGCGTTGGAACAGGAAGCGTTGATTCCCAGCATCGTAACATAGGAGAACTAATGAGAAACGGAGTCCATGGCGCCAGATAATCTCGATGGCAAAGCTGGAACTAATGGACGACCTTTCGAGGGCGCGACGCTCCGCCCCCACCGGATAATTCGAGAAACAATGGCAACCAGAAACATGCAGACATTGTCGCACAGTGGCGGTGCGACATGCAGTAAGATCGACAGTGATTCGAAAACTTTCACGAAAGTTGAATGAAATATCGATTGTTTGGCGGTTTTGTGTTTTAACTTCGAGTTGTCGATCGATCGTTGTCATTGGTCTAGGAGCGGTCGATGAAAGTCGAGCGAGAACTCTAACCAATAACAATGACTCGGTAGAACAGGATTAATTTGTCCTGTCATATGCGTACTTTAGTTATCCTTATAACATATGCGAATAATTTTGAACGTCGTTTCGTGCTGTCCGATAATATCACGCTTCGAGGTAAGACTGACACTTTGAAAAGGGTATAAGGAAATCGCGTACAGGAAACGGGTGACACGACACAGTGAATCATTTAATATAATTTGATACTGCTCGACCAGTTGTTTATCAACAATTGAGAAAACTTACCTTATTTTGCAGCACATCGAGAAGCACGTAAACCAGCAACGTGATCTCCTCTTCGTCAGATCCGAGAGCATTTCCTTGAAGACCGGCTGTCGCCACGTAAAGGGCGACCAGGTGAGTAGGTCCCCTTGTTCCTGTAGTCTGCATCGTGCCAGGATTACCTTTCGTTTCTTTCGTCCGTTTCGTTCGAGCACTACTCACTACTTCTGGGTCAACGTACACCTGAACCTATCAAAGTAGCACACCACGATGCACGCAAACGTGTCCTAGACAAGGCCAAATTCGGCCTCTTGGGTGCTCACCTGAACCTCACGTCCGCACTACGTTCACGCGTTCACAGACTGTCGCCGTACAAACGCGACATGTTACCTATCTATCGTGCTGATTGAGGTTAAGGATCGACCGTTGTTGATCCGGATCGCGAATCGATGATAGATACCTCGCGCCACGTTTCTGCGCAGGTATATCGTTCGCTGCGATAACTCCGCGAACGGGCAGCACCCGCGAGTTATTCGTTTGCGCGGCTCTGTCGACGGACCGCCGTCGTGAGTGGCAAGGTTTCGTGCAGCACTGGCCAACCCCGACCGTTGCGCGCACACGTCGTCGTTGTTGCTTCACCTGGCGACTGCGCATCGAAACCCGTCGCTCGTTGGCTATAGGACCCTCTTCGTTCGTTCCCGTACTCGCGGCTCCTCGGCACGGCGAACTCACGCGATGGGCGCGACGAAGATGCACGAATGCCGGCCGAACGCTGCGCGACAAGGACCGAACATGTCACGTTGAAAAAACGCGTAAACCCGACGATGTAAACTGCACGGAACGATTCAAATTCGAGAAATTTCTTAAACGATTCGCACGATAACAGTCAAGCAACGCGTCGTGTCGTTTCTACGACGAAAAACCCAACACCCATTCAGGTTAAAGGCGGCGAAGGGAAAGGCAGGTCAAAAGCAGCGACGCACTGGCCAGGTGCGCAGACATTCCACTCGCCTTGCGGTACGCTCACCCCGCTACCCGACCGCGATTATTTTCCACCTGGAGCGCCACGTTTACTTCTTCATGGCGGACTCCTAACGAGATTCGATACATCGAACCACCAAACGATAGTCCGCGTATGAATGAATTTCGCGATGGTAACACCGCACAGGTATCGCTCGATCGTTTGATTAGGAAAGCATGCGGTTCGCTGTTCTCATGGAGGCACGCTTATTATTCATGTGACTGGACGGAACAAAAATGGCGACCACCTTAAGCGATTCCTTCGAGCATAAGTAGCCTCCGACAACGGATCACAGGTACGTACCGTCGCCTGTGCCCTCGATTCGATGCTCCCTCCATAACATGATCACGGCCTTGATAACGCGCGAACGTGTATCACGCTAGTACTCGCGTATCTTTCGCAATTTCGCGAATTTAAATAAAAAAAGCATCGTACCCCGGATGTGTCTTCGTGTAGACTTCAAAGTCATTAGATCGAGATAGGCTGTAGTGGGTACTCGTTAAGCATGGAATTATCAATACTGTCATTTTACGTAGAACATTTGCATAAATGCATAATGTTTTTTGAATACTGGATATTTTAATAAATTATCGACCTGCACTTCAATATTAATGAAAGAACATTTCCCATGTTCTATTATCACAATTTACTGTAACCTTGTTTGCTTATTAGATTTCGTTGTTATCATCGCTCGTTTGTATGCAAATTTATATTCCCCAATTTTTAAACGATGTTTTAATTAAGAAAACAAAATATTTACTTAAACAGTGATTTTCGTTATTGAAAAAATAATCAAATCGCAGAAACTTTTTAGAATTAACAAATCGGTGCAACGTGACAGAGACATGGCACGAGAGATAGATGAATATTACATGTTATACATACAGTTCGCGTTAAATCGACTTAAGGAAGGAGAGTAAAGGAAAGCCAACGAGCAACAGGTTGGCACGATCGCCTGCGGATGGGGAAACGGGAGAACGAGAGGTGCCTATGTATAGACAAAGAAGCAGAAAACGGGAAAGCAATCGTCGTTTGGATATGGTAGGAATATCCGTGAAGCGAAATGCTTAGCGCTACGTAAGAGAGACGGTGTCGTGACAGGGAGACCGGATTGGTTGGTCACCTGTTGCTTACCAACTGTGATTGGTTGGGCTCGACAGCGCGTAACGACGACTAGAGGAGGACAAGTGCATCGTCGCCTGGTCTATGATGGACCAAGTTCGAGAATAGACGCTATAAGGATATCGATTTTGTATATTTATTATACATTCGTACATTTATTCATACGTGTACACTGTCGTCCTCAAGTATTATATAATAATTTATCCCATTTCTTATATTTCATGAAATGCAGATTTATCTCTAATAATTGATTATATAAATGACTAGATAAACAACTTGCGTTGAATTAGCTTGAGATGTAAAACTATTTCATAATTTTTTTAACATTAAGAAGTGTAATATCTTTTCTTTATTTTATTTGTATTATTTTTTTATAATATAAGCTAATATAACTATTTCATAATTTTTCAGCGTTGACAACTATAATGTTTTTTCTTTATTTTATTTGTATTATTTTTTTATAATATAAGCATTTTACTGAAAAGAGAATCATTGAGTTTTTTTTTAAGACAATTACAAAAATTTGTTCTGTATCATGTATACTTATTATAATTACGTTGTGACAGATTTATTACCATGAGAAACTATGCAAGATATGAAGAATGAAATCTAGCATGAATATTTGATGGTATATAGCGTAAAAATAAAGATAAGGATAAAAATCTCAGAACAGGTGCGTACATGGACAACGAGAATCGTGTAAGAGCAAAGTTCTCGGCTCGAAGAACAAAGTCTCGATCGGCAATGTAAGGAGAGCCGGTTTACGAGATCGGACTCTGAACCTTTTGTGTCGTATTGATCTTACACAAACGAGCATCGTGACTGTTATAAAATAAACGTGGATCCAAAGTACTTATTCACAATGGGAAGCATTTTATAGCTTCTTTATAGTTCGTCCTCGGAACGGAAGTCGAATATTTTTTTTGAGCCCAAGATATCCTATTTGGTACATCATGATATTTATTTATATATTAAAGTATATACTTCCGTTTGCAAAGTCATACTATATTAGTTTAGCGTAAATACAGCGAACGTAATATCTATTTACAGTGTGCATTCACGAAACAAACGAGGGCGGAAGAGGATGACGCAGAAGGGCGAAGCTCCTCGAGGGACACCTGCTAAACACCTGCTTTTTCGAAGGAGTTAAAGTTGACCCTGGCTAGTTCCTAAAGCTGTAATACTACAAAGAATGCTTTTGGTTCGATCCAGATTAACAAAATAATATGAATACATTATGAATGCAAGAGGAAGAATAACTCGTAAGTTTACTGAAATTAGCCGATAAATTGTCGTGAAAGAGGGTCCTGAAAACACTTTGAATCTATAGCCGATCGTACTTTACGATGAACAATTCGTTTTAGATGCTCTTTTACGATAGGAGGAAGGGGAGCGGATTCACCGTTGCGCAGAACTTTCTCTCGGACGAGAATTATATTCGTGCCTTTCGTACATGTATCTGTACATAACTTTCAAACCATTACAAATCGCGACGATTCTTCCGCGATCAAGCGTTCCTGATATATTTGGAAATAGTAGCCGGTGCAAGGCTGAGTCGTTCGGGGAACGTGTGACCCGATTTCCCTTGCTCGACAGAACCCTTTCGAATGACGAAGTACAAAATAAAGTTCCACTAATACGAAAAGGCACCTCACCAGGTATCATGATAAAGGAAAGGACACGAGAAGGCTAGAGAGAGAGAGAGAGAAAAGAAGACAGGCTGGTCGCTGACCCGCTCGGAACGTTGACTCCATGTAGTCAGTCCCCTCTTTATATTTTCTTCCATCCCACTTGCACCATCTTACTGTACCTTCGATTACAGCCACGAGTTACCTTTCCTTACTTTACTTTGCGTTACTTTACCACGTCCGCCTTTCTTTACCCACGGTTGCAACCACTATATTCCCTAGTCTTACAATTGTTATCATCTTGCAGATGATCCCGGCGTCTTCCTTCCTACCTGTATCTGCTTCTGCTTGCTTCGTCAACGAGTGGACTTATAACCTTCGACTAATTTCAAGGAAATCGACAATGTGCTCCAATGGACAGCTAAAGCAGATCAACAATTCTAATACAATACTACTCTAAAGGAAATTAAATATTCTGTTGGTGATTACGTTTTTATTTTATTTGTTCAATATTAGAATTCAGTTATAGCTCACAAACTTAATTGTTGATCGACTTTGGACGCTGTATCTTTAGCGACGTGGAAACCTAGCTTAATCTGAGAATTAGGAAATATAGAGCTTAGAGTATTAATAGAATAGGGATATCACAGAAATATTTTACTGACAAAAAACTATAACAAGTTGTGTTAATCGGGTTTTGAGTGTTGAGCTAGAATTGAATTAGATTTTGATAAAATTTATTAACTCAATAAAGTGCCAAGTCCAACTTTTTTCCCAGGTTTCGTAAGACGGCTCTGACCTTGGCAATTACGGTAATTTCAAAAACGTGCTCACAAATATTCGGCCTATGCAACAATGCAACTGATGTTATCAACGACCACGACTCGGTAGAAACAACTAGCATCGAGAATGTACCGTTAGAATCATCATCGTCTTTCTTTTCCTCTCTTTGTCTGTGTGGTGGCCAAGATTCAAGAGTTATTTGATAACGGTACACGTTCGTTCTTCGAAGCTGGACTAATTTTCTATCGTCGAAAAGTCAATCTACGCTTCATCTGATGATTATTATTCAAAATTTTCGTAATGATTCCGCAAAAAACTTGCTCGCTCGTTTCTTCTCCTACTACGTTTTTTCTTCTACCACCACCATCACCACTACCACCATTGATCACCACCTCCTTCACTCCACAAACCATCCGTCGGGAACCTCGGCTCCTCCCGCCGCGTGGCTCAATTATCTTCATCATTACGACCGCCCCTTTGGTGGTGACTTTAAATTTTGTGTATGCATATGTAGATACAGAAAGAAAAATAAATATTCATTTGGAAATTTGTTATTAATTATTATTATTTACATCTCATTTTAATATAAAAGAATTTATGGACAATTCAACAATTTTACGCTGAGTGTGGTATAAGCTTTTATCCATAACATATGTACATCATTAAATTGTTTGTTCTGTATTTCGTTAAAGTATATTGGAGAAACGATGTGAAAAATAACTCGAAAAATTTAGTAGGATACTATTAATCAGTACCGCTAGCAACAGTGGGCAAACCAGTTTCTAATTTTGAAAAAATTTAATTTATAAACACGTTGCAGTTCAATGTGTGGCAATATAACAAGTCCACGTTTAATGATATCGATTTTTGGACCTCGCAAAATATAATGGCGACTTCGACAATATTAATAAGATCATTAAATTTAATTTGATATGTTTTATTTACGTTTATACATATAAATATATTTGCTATAATTTGATTGAGGAAAATGCGTATAAAATATTTGCGATACAAGTTCGTAGTTTTTCAAAAATTGTTCGATTTTTGGTACAATACTGTCAAATAATATTATATGACTAGGCATTTTGATGTTTTCATCACTATTGTAATAATTATTTAGCCAGTGCATTGGATTTGAAAAGAACTCATCTGCTTCCTCTGTATAATTTACATTGCTATTAAAATTAGGTTCACATGTTAATATTTTTATAGGTACATTTACGTGTAAATGACTGTACAAAGGAGTAGCATGACAAGGAGTCAGAAATAATACATTAGTTGTATTATCAGTATAATTAAGCTGTTTGCCAAGAACATTCATTATATCTAAAGATCCACGTTGATGTACCATAGAAAAATAAATACCAGGTAGGACATTGGTAATTATGAGTAATGCCACAAATACTTTTCTGACTGTTTTTGTAGACTTAATTGCTAAAGAAGGTATACTGGAAGTAGAAATATATGTAAACATTGGTAAAAGTGGCAGTAAAAATCTAAATTCCTTATGAGATAGCAAAGAGTAAATGCCAAGTGTCCAACATATGACAATTAACATAAGTGACTGACGATGAAAGGTATTGGAATGCTTCAGTACTTGCCAAATGCTTAATAAAAAAATAACGTAATGTACACCTAAAAGCACTGGTAATCCACTTAAAATATACCATAATAAATGTTGAGTACCATATATATCTCCAATCTTATATAAAACATTTACACGAAAAAATTCCAAAGGAGAAATAACTAATGTGCCATAGCAGTAAGAGTCCAGTAATATGGAACTGATACAACAAACAAAAGATATTACAATATACTTTGATAATAATATTAACTTGTTCTGTAAACTGGTACATAAATGATAAAAGCATAAGGGTAACCATATAATAACAGCAGTAGGTCTAATCATACATAAAAACCCTATAATCCAAAAATATCTTATAGTTGTAATATTACTATCACGCCATGGAAACATAGACAAAGCTATCATGGTACATGATGTTTCTATAGTATTTATCAATGTACGTGTAGCACAATAGTACCAGTACCAATTCAGACATAAACTATACAATGCCCATTTGTTCTTAGTCCATTCATAAAACTTGTATTCTCCATATGCACTCATAAGTGCTTGAAATATTCGAGGTAATGTTGTTAAAATTATTACATCATCTAAAGATACCAATGCTAGTATTCGATACATAATGGATATCAAAAATGGATAAATGTAACTGCGAATTTTCATGCTCCATTCCCATGTCAGGTAACCGTATCCAAATGCTAAATGATGAGCGACTTCTAATGATTGCCAATATTCATCTGGTACATGGGCAGTTTGTATAAGAAAAACAGAGGTTAACCTCCATAGTATTAAATAAGATAATATTTTTGCTTTCTTTGTCATTTGACTGAAATGTAATTTGGTAAATAATTATTAGTTATTTCTTAGTAAATGTTGCTACATTCTTGTCTGTATGTCAGAAATAAAGCTTTTTATTAAACAATACAACACTTGTCAATTTGTTCAACATATAATAAATTTAGAATAAGGAATAGATATCTGTTGCCAATATATAAAATTATTCCTAACTTGATAGGAACTTTTGTACCCTTAAGTTGGCTCGGTTTTAAATTATATTGTAGTTACTTTACATCCTCCAATCAGAATACTCTACACTATAGCATTTTACGAAATCGATTAGTTGAGAGTTGTCCTAGCGATATTTCTTTGAACAAAAGAAAGTCGATAGCATCGTTACGAGAGCTAGTCGATAACCGATCGTGCATCGTTCTTTTCGAAACGAGAAATTGAAGTTCGATATCTGTAAAATAATTCGTCAAACGCTACTTTGAGATATCGGAATTTTCGCGGTAAATTTGTTATTCGATTATAATCGTAGGAGGAGACAGATTGATAAAAAGAATTATATATTCTTGTAAGACAGTTGAATTTTAAATTATGCAACGAAAATCCTCCATTTTGATGAAAAATAAGTGTTGTAAATGATTAAAACTATGAAAAATACAATGCATATATACATTTTAAAATTTGAAAGATAAGACGAGCCGGTATTTATGTATTTTAATTAATAATTATGGAAACTAAATCAATAATATTGCCTAACAATGGAAAATCTGTCACGCCAGATGACTCCAAAAGTGAGATGCAAATGATACTTGCTAAAATGATGGAAGAAAAACATACATATACGTATAAGAAATTAGTAGTACCTATGTCAATGAGAAGTATTTATTGGAAGTTCTTCGGATTTCCAGCTACTGAAGATGGTGATATTCTTACTAAAGTAAAAATCGTTTGTGTATTGTGTAAAACTCAAATTGCATATAATCGTAATACTAGTAATTTACGTATGCATCTGCAAAATAAACATGCTCAAGAACTTTTAGAATTAGAAGCTACCAATCCTCCTCGTAGACAGGTACTTTCACAAGAAACAAAGGAGCGACGAGCTCAAAAAAAATTATTAAAGGCAGGATTAACTTCTGCTCAGCATATTTATACCACTAATGCTGATGGTACTGTTCAAATAGATGGAGATATTCAATTTGTGACTGATCCAAACATAACTTTATCTAATATTGAAGATGACATTACAATTGGTCAACCATTACGAGTTATGATTAAAAGTGGTTCTAATCTAGGAAACAATAGTCAAAATGTGGCCTTTCTTATGCCAGAAGATAATCCTATAAATCAATCAAGTATTGATGGGAAAACTGTATCAGATGCTATAGCAGAATTTATTATAATGGATCTACAGTTACCAGAGGTGGTAGAAGGTAGAGGTTTTCAAAGACTAGTCGCAACGTTACGTTCACCCTGTGAAATTCCTAGTAAAAATAAATTAGAAGAAGAAATAATACCAAAGATTTATGATGCATTTCGTGAATCAGTGACAACAACTTTATCTTGTATTAATAGTGAAGTAGGTTTAACAGTTGAAGAGTGGAAATCAAATTCTGATGAACGATTTGTTACTATTTCTGTGTATTATCAAAATTCTGGTGAGCCAGTTTTAGAATGTAAAGTACTAAGTACAATTCATGCACCTTTAGATTGGGATGAATCTCAGTGGGGTAACACGATAGACTCTTTGTTACTTGATTGGGATTTAAAAATAGAGAAAATAACTGCAGTAGTGGTAGCTACATCTAGACCAGAATTATTAGCTGCTTTAACCAGCAGAGGATTAACATTAGTTCCTTGTTTATTATATACTTTGCAAGTGTGTGCTCAAGCCTGTTTTGAAAATCCAGAAGTTGCTACAATATTATCAAAATGTAGAGCAGTCATAGGAGCTATTATAAGTCATCCAGCTGCATCTGCGGCTTTAGCTATGCAGGAACAATTATTGGAGGTAATTGGAAAACCATAATATGAAATATTACTTGAAGAATTATGGATTTATTGAATTTATTTAAAGATAATTTAATCTTATTGCAGTTAGAAGAGAACACTATGTTAATAGATTATCCACCTGTATGGACATCAACATATAACATGCTTGAACAAATAGTTATGCGTCATAATATTGTGACATCTATTTTGGAGAGCATGGAAGGTGTGGATCAAGAAGTAGTTGATCTAACAAATGAACAGTGGAAAATTGTGGAAGATCTAGTGAATGTTTTAGAACCTTTCAAAGTTACAATTATGACACTCAGTGAAGAAAAAATGCCTTTAATATCATTACTGAAACCATTACTTTGGCAACTTGTGTCTTCTCATCTGAAAGTAAAAGAAACTGATAGTGATATAGCTAAATCATTTAAAGAATCTTTATCTGATATGCTTTGTGATAGATATGCAGATTACAATGTTACACTCTTACTTCAAATTGCAACTACACTTGATCCAAGGTAATTATAAATTATGAGTAATTGTAGACATATCTTATATCATAAGTAGAAATAGATATAATTAATTTTGTATGTTGTACATTAGATTTAAACAACTACCATATGCCACTGAAGAAGATAAAAACTTGGTTGCAGCTCCTATAAAGGAGATGTTAACAAAATTAATACAAGAAGAATCTGGTGATACTTCAAATATTAAAGTTGAAGAAGAACCTCCAAACAAAAAAAATCGTTTATCAGGTAAGTACTATAAGTTATAATAAGTTTAATAGATTTTTATCTTTCAAATTATTAATAAAATTAGAATATATTACAATTACTTGTAGGCATGGAACTTTTACTAGGAGGTTTATGTTCAGTGAAAAGTGGAATGCCTGCAGAAGAAAAAGCTGACCTTGAACTTGTACAATATCATTCTGAATCTACTGCACCTCTAGATTATTGCCCTCTTCAATGGTGGGCTAAAATTTCCGCAAAATGTCCAAACTTAGGCAAGCTGGCTTGTAGATATAATTGTGTGCCAGCATGTTGTGCACCACCCTCAAGAATACCAGCAGAAATACAAGTTTTATACGACACAAGACGAGCTGCTTTACCACCTCATTTGATAGACAAACTACTTTTTCTTCATGGTAACCATACTGTTTGAAGATATTATACTTTACTATTATTTAAAGGTATTATTTTTTTTAATATGTAAAATACTCTCTAGGAAAAGATTTATTTCTTCAAATTAAAAAAAGGAACTCCTATTACATTTCAACGAGATAATAAGCCGATTCCGTTATTGATTTGAAATAGTTTTTTTTTAACATAATATTAAAATATTTGGATTTTATTTAATTTAATTACTGCATTGAACATACGCTTATTAATTTGTATGTTTATTTTACTTCTCAATTAATTTATATAAGTCATATATAACCTGAAGTTTCTAATTAACAATAGAGATTGAACTTGAAAAATATATGAATGCATTTGTTCATTATTAAGAAGAAGAATATATTTGATTATATCAGAAGTAGAAGCACATTAAAACAGTTAAGATCATCTTACATAAGTTATGTAACGTAATCAAGTCTTTTTCATTTTGCTTAAACATTAATGTTACTACTTTCTAAATATTTTGAATGTTAAAACTACTGTGAAAAAATATAAAAGGCTAAATCATAATGACAAATATATAGAAAAAACATGTCACTTCTAAAGATGATACAAAAATAGTTTTGCATTTTCAAAACATGTGATGTATTAAAATGTATAAAAACTTTTACATATTATATTTTTTATAAAATATTGAAAATAAAATTTCAATACAGTAGATATTGCATAGGCACTGTAAATAATTTAAATAGAAGATTTTTTATTTGATCTCTTGCCTTTTTTGCAAAAGAGTACTGTTAAATTATTTGCTACAAGTGATAATAATGTAGTAAATAATTCATTGTAACAGTATAGAAACTTCATCTTCGTGCATTAAAGCATTGACTTAGTTATCATAAATTTCACTCGTTTATGGTAAGTCGTTTAGCAATGAATAAATTAATAGATTAAAAAATGTATTCTTGTGATATTAACTTGTATTTAAAAATTTTAAAGTAGTACAAAACTGCACATTTTATATCATATGCAACAGAATGTGTACCATGAACATACTATCTGCATTATAGATAAAACTTGCTGCTTGTTCATTTAATACTTTAATGATTGAATATAGTCTTGTATTTAATGTAAGTCACACATGTATATTTATAACAATTGTACAGAATTTTACATTTTATTTTCATAAGCTATAAATATAATTGTAAAAAGAATTCACAATACTTTTATACTGTATATAAAATGAATTATTTCCGAAATACATTAAAAAGTTTACTGTATACTAAATTCTTAGTACATATGAAAATGTAGTTATTTTTAAAAAATCAAGAATAGAGTATGAAATGTACATATTTACATCATTACAATTTTTTATGTTAAATAAAATTGTAACATCATTACAAACGAAGTAAACAAAATTTACATAAAACTATAAGAAGCATGTATCTTCTTTATTTTACATTTCTGAAAATAATTGTTATTTATCTCAAAGATTAACTATGAAAGACTGAATTGATTTTGAATCCATGTGGAACTTTCATAGAACCTAGGATCTGCGATTCTAAGGGATGCTCTTTTATAGAAATAGTAATATAAAACTGCAACTTTAATATACATGAATGTTAAAAAAAGTATTAAAATATATACATATATGTATATAATATTTTATTTTTAATATACCTCCTTTGTGCACTGAATAAAGAACATGGAAGTCTTTTGTCCAATGGTATTTGAAAGGTGATGACCAATGTACTTTAATGTCCCATATATGAAGACTAATACTTAATATCATGTATAAAATACATAATATTAATGTTATACGAAATTTTGTGTACAATAACTGTATTAATCCTATCTGTGTAACATACAAACACAATTAATCAATGATATGAGATGAATCATTATTTTAAAAAATATTATAATATTTAACAATCAATGTTTAAACTTTTTAGTTACCTGAAAAATGTAGGTTGAAAAGAAATTAACTAACAAAATTGTTAGAGTTGCAATGAGACAAATATCTTGAACCCTAAAATAGGAAACAAAAAGCAAAATAAAATTGAAACAATTAATATACTTTTTTGAAGGATAACGTACATGTAAAGAATTAATAAATTAATTGGATTTTGTTGTGAGAAATTAGCAAACGAATTAACTAGAATATCAAATAGTAATATTATATACTGCACTATGATAGTTATTGAATATTTTTTCGTATTTAATGTATTCATTTATCACGGATGAAATGTTTATTTAACGTTAATAAAGTTTTATTTATAAAACTACAATTCCGTACTACGATATTATCTTTGTATTCTAAGGGTTGCTATTGGTTACTATACCGAACATAGGGGTGTATGTATAGGAAGACTAATTAAGACATCTTCATCACGCAGCACGACGTATATACAATGAATTTTAGAAATTTATTCAATTTTTTACAAAATATTAACTTGAATGATACTATTATTTTTTTATACAGTAACTCAAAGTACAGCTGTATTAGTAATTTATCAGTTGTTAAAAATAAATTACATTTGTTTAAAAATGTGTTGAATTGTATATATACATTAATTTAATTGTATACTTATTTTTTAAGTAAAATTTAATTATAAAAAGTAAAGGAATATCAAATATGGTACAATTTTTGTGGTGAATATAAGATCAGAAACATTCCTTGTCTCAAGGTTAGGTTTACTATATAATGAGAAATGAATGCAACAAATGTGCAATGATTTTGAATTGACGACTGATTGTAATGATTTAAGATGGAGATTGCAAACAATAAACGTCTACATACACGCCAAATAATTGGTATTTTTCCTGTACTAGAATTAGATACTGATGATGTAGATATTCCTTTAAAAAATCCGACTATAACATATTTGGATATTTTTTTTCTGGTATCTTCAATTGTCATGCATGTTGTAGACATGGCAATTGACATAAATCTTGCTGTCAGATATTTATTAGCTAACAAAATAACATATTTTGTATGGACAACTGTTTTTATTTTTCTACCTTCATTCATAAATGTCATAATCAGCAGAAGAATGCAACGACAAGATGATGAGGTAAAAAATTATGTTGAACATCAGTAAAATTAAATACAAAATTCAGTGCATTGTTTTATTTCTATTTTTCTAAAAACAATTTTTTTTGCAGAGAAGTACAGAGGCGCATCAATCGGAGTTTAAGTGTGTACATACAATGTTATCAAAAAAATTATATTGTATTATAATTATAGCATTTCAATTAGCACCGGTGCTGCGTTACTACAAAACTTTAAAATATGCTATCAAAGCATATCAGTTTAAGAAACAAGAAAATCGAAATGCTCAAAAGAAATATTATCTCAAAATGCTTAAAGAAGATCAAGATGTTGCATTGTTGAGAGTATTTGAATGTTTTCTTGAAGCAGCTCCTCAACAAATTTTACAACTAACTATATTACTGAAGAATTATCACAGCAATATCAATTTTGAGTGTATATATATTTCTATGCAACTATTATGACATTACAAGTATCAGAATGAAACTTATATGTGTATTCATTATAGTTATTCATCAAGTAGCCAGCATCCTAAGTTCACTTGGAAGTATGGGATGGGCAATGGCTAGTTACCATCGTAGCATTAGATTGATTCAACAAGATAAGTTAAATATTGGTATTACAGGAACAGTTTTACAATTTTTATGGCATTTTTGCACAACAGGTATGTAAACTCTGATCATTTGAAAGAATTAAAGTTTAAATTAAATAATTTTTCAGTTTCAAGAATATTGTCTTTAAGTGTTATTGCAAGTATATGGCCAATATATACTGCCATTGGTAGTCTTTGTCACTGGATAGGTATGACTACATGGATCCTTATTGATTCTCATGGCATACTAGAATTCTGTAGAAATTATAATCATGCTCCACATTATACTCCGAAAATTAAAGAACGTATCAATTCCTTTTTCTTTTCTTTAGTTATTGGTGTAGTTCACATATTTATATATTTAAATGCTGTGGATGGTAGTACATTTCTCAAACATGTATTCTTTTATATAGTCTGTTTCCTTGAAAATATAACTGCAACTGTATTCTGGATATATACATCATCAGATGAAGTTAAAAATGCCTGGTACTTCCATGTACTAATTATTCTGTGTATTATACCCTATTTGTTGGGTATAACAGCCATGATTGTTTATTACAGTGTTTTTCATCCTTCTTTGAAACATCAAAATTCTCCAACTACATAATTTTCATTAAAGATTAGTACGTCTAGTATTTAACAAAATTTATTTGACTTATATATTTATTCCATACAATTTGTACAAATATTTATGTAGCATTCGTAATTAAGTAATGTTTATTTATATTATTCATTTTACTAAGTACATGTTGCTCATGTATATATTAGTAACAGTTTAAAATAACTGCCATCCAATTCAACTCAAAACACTTTATTTGTAAATTACATGGTTATACATGTATACAATCAACAAACGAAGTGATCATTATATACTTAAAAAAATATATTAATTATTATCATAAGCTTGCCAATGACAGTACCTTTAAGACTGAAAAAGTCAGGTGACTAGATAATGTAATAATAGCGTATATAATGCGTCTTTTACCGTATTTTTTAAATAATTGTATTGTAAAATTTTTATACATATTTTTATATGAATATTAAAGTACTATAAATGTGTAAAAATGATCTAAAGATAAAATGAAAATTGTAACATTCGTTAATATACTTAGATAAAGCCAACTATTACAAATTTATATATTTATAGCTTTTTTAAATTTAATGTACTTTACATACTTATACATTAAATAAAATGCATCATTTCCATAACATGAGGTATTATTCTTTTGAACTTTATAGGATACAAGTTGAATCTGTTATGTACTGTTTTAATGAAAATTTATTAAAAAATAACAATATGAAACAATAATTACACAACCCGTAAATACTATAACTGTGATAATTACAATAAATAAAAATTTGTTAAAAGAAATTTGTTAAATAATTAAAATTTTCAGTTTTAGTAATTGTTCAATAATATTTGAAGCCATTTTACTATGCAGCACAATATGTATGAACTCTTTTATGTGATAATAATTATAAAGCATATTCTCTAATGTTGTTTTAGAAGTAGAAATCAACATTGATTTTATATGACATTTGCATTGTGTAGTTAGCATTGTAATAGAATATGCCACGTGAAATAATATATCAATAATTTATAAACCATATATTCGTACATGTATTATTTTCTCCTTTAGACATCAGTCAACTGGATTTTGTATCACTATAAGTATAAATTCTTTATCTGGAGCAACCATAATTTCATGTTTCTTACTACGAATACGTAAGAAAGTAAGATCATTCGTTGGGTCTAAATCACGTACTACAGATCTTGCTTTATCTGATAATTGGCTTATCAATCCTGCATACTGAACAGTTGTAGTATTGTCCAATGTAGATTTTATTGGAATACCTAAATAAAATTTTGTTAAGTTGTCTAGTAACATAAAATGTTATAAACCAAAACATAACAGACCTTCTGCATTAACTACAATTGTTCCAACTACTCCTTTATGTGATTGAATACGTTTCATAGTTTCCTCTACTTCTTGCGCCTTAAAAATGAACCCAAAATGTTTAATGCAATTTACAAAACAAATTTATAACTTGTCATAAGCTTACCATTTTCCAAATTTGCTATCTTATATTGATTATTAAGTGTAATATTGATTATAAAATCAGTAGTTAGAATTTATAGCGAAATGAACATTTAGAAAAGCCAGTTTGATCTAGCCAGCTATTGGTCGTTTATGTAGTTTGTATTAATACTAAATTAAAGAGAGCAAAAATAGATATCAATATTTTGGGGTTAACATCGCCTAGATACGCCAAACCATAAACGACACATAATATAGACTGCAGTCATAGTACATTTTTCTGATTTGTTTGACACAATCGGTATTTCAAATTGTGAGGATCAAATTTTGTAAAAACTAGCATGTCTTATCTTATACATTGCTTATGGTTGTCCTGTAATGACATTAAGCGCAGTCGGTAATGATGATTATAATAAGTTGCACTATAAAAATTTGTTGTTGATTTTATAATGCAACTTCTTCAAAAACAAATTCTTTACTAGTACAATGTTTGATATAAGATTATTATTAATAAGATATTATTTCAATACATAATTGGTGTTCTCATATTTTAGAAATATAATATTTTGTATATTTCTTTTATTCCTAACATTGTGAAAACGATAAGAAAGTAAAACTATTTTATTTTTGCATAAATTTTATACATTTCACGAAGATAATGAAAATTGCAAATGCACCCATGAGCTTTGCATCAACGTAGTCATTCTATTGCACTCCATTAGTTTATGATTCATTCTCCCGTGTGTCTGGTATATATGTACCTCAGGAGTCCTCAAGCTTACTCGATTTTTCTTAATATTTTTAGAACATATTGCCTTACGAGTGCATTCGTATTCGTTAACTTGACCGTTCGTTCTTCGAAGTGAACGTAATCGATCGAACGTGACTGATACCGCAGTGTTTCAACGATTAAAGAGTGACATATATAAATCTATGGTTTGCGCGTTCCGACAGAAGCGAGGGAGAGGAGAGGAAGAGAGATGGGTTGGTGGATGAATTACTACAATTTGCTTAATAGTTAATAGACTCAATTCCTCCGTTTTTTTTTTATTTGTGGCGACTTCAGCCTCGATAAACATGGATCCATGGGATTGTATTTAAAGAACAGATGCACAATGTTGTAGATTATGTAGAAATAACCCAAATGTGAAGGCTAAGCGCGAATACCGGACCTTGCGCACCAAAGTCCGGCGCTTTAGCCATATCTCAAACACCGTGCGTCTAGACTTCAAATTTCTGGTATGCTTTTACGATCCATTCACGATGCCCGCATATGCGACCATACTGCCATATCTCATCCTAGGAATGTTAGGTAATTGAACGTTTTATTATCTTCCGTTTGACAGTTGTATCCGCGATTTAAAATATATGTTGATGCAAATTTCCCACTGATTACCATTGTTTTCCTTTTCCGAACGTATTTTAAGTATCGTTATCAAATCTTATGCATTGTATGGATAATATTAAATTCTATGTTTATATACGTAGTGCATTATCTCCTATACCGTTGAGCAACAATGATATGATTGTTTATATAGAGTAATCATTTGTTTTTTACTGAGAATTTGATACAAAAATAAAGATTGGTTATAAAACACTTTTAACCAGTGTTTACATTTAGTTTCTCAGTGCAGTCCAAAAAAAGACATTAATATAAACTTGTGAAATCAATGTTTTGTTGAAAATAAATAGTTTTGCTTATTAACAAATAGTTCTAAAACATTAGATTTCGTATATTATTTAAAAAATAAGTATAAATAGGTTGAAATTTTGTAATTACTCTGAGTAGTTATTCTATTCGTAAGTAAAAATTGCAATATAATAAATCAAGGTACATTTTTATTTTTGGTATTATTTTTATCAATGTTTATAAATATGACTTAAGAGAAAGTTATAAAAACTGCAGCTGGTATTAAAAATTTATAATTGTGATTTGTAGGTCCTATATTGGGACACGATGTCAAAGGTTCTTCGGTTTGCGAATTTTACAATGAAACAATGTGTGCAGAATCCCAGCAAGAATGCTCTGGGAGAGAAGAATGTGGGCCACATGATCCAGGCAAAAGAAATCATTGTTATGTATTGTGGCAGATTGACAATGCCACTAAGAAATCTATAATTAAGTTAAAGGTATAAAAATATTATACCTTCTATATTATTAGCAATTGTACATTTTTCACTTAATTATTATTATTAATTGTAGGGGTGCTTTTTGGATAGTAATGATTGCTATGACAGACCACATTGTATTGAAAATAGTGCAGAGAGGAAAAAAGAGTTATTTTTTTGTTGCTGTGATGGAAATATGTGTAATCAGAATTTTACATGGGATCCTCATCCAACTTCTTCTTCCAAGCCTATTTTGCATGGTGTGTATTTATCTTAGATGATATCATATTAATAATCTTTCAGTACCAAGTAGAACAGACAGCTGAGTATTAAATAAAATTATGTTTTAGATCCAGAACCTGTTCCAAATACAGAGCAACAAATAATAACACTTGTTTTATCAATATCAATACCTATGCTTCTTCTTGCTATTGTTCTGCCATTTTTGTATTGGTGTTATAGACGACGGAAGTTGAGATATTTCAACGAGGTTTGGAAGGCATATGTACAGATCTCTCAATTACTAAATATATATTTTTTGGTTTTGATGATACTTTTTTCACGATTTTCATTGTATGATTATTTTATAAACTGGTTTTTGTAGGTACCAACATTAGAACCTCTTCCATTGCCACAACCATCTCCTAATTTGGGATTACGTCCAATACAACTTTTAGAGATTAAAGCTCGTGGTCGTTTTGGAGCAGTGTGGAAAGCACAATTGAAAAATGAAATTGTTGCTGTAAAAGTATTTCCTATACAAGACAAACAGTCTTGGCAAACTGAACAAGAAATTTTCAAACTTGCACATATGGATCATGAAGACATTTTGCGTTTCATAGGCGTTGAGAAAAGAGGAGATAACTTACAAACTGAATTCTGGTTAATTACTGCATACCATGAAAAAGGTTCATTATGTGATTACCTGAAAGCAAACGTTGTTACATGGCCTGAGATGTGTAGAATAGCAGAATCTATGGCAAGGTAATTTTGTAACACAGGTTTAAGAAATATATATCTTCTTTTATAATGATGTATATTTTAATCTGTTAGAGGCTTGATGCACTTACATGAAGAAATTCCTGCCAATAAAGCAGATGGCTATAAACCTGCTGTGGCTCACAGGGATTTTAAGTCAAAAAATGTATTACTGAAAGCTGATATGAGTGCCTGTATAGCAGATTTTGGTTTAGCCCTAATATTTCATCCTGGAAAACCTTGCGGCGATACACATGGACAGGTACGGTCCTCGCGTAATTGATGCAATTTATGCAATTCAATTTATTTTTTATGGTTTATAGGTTGGAACAAGAAGGTACATGGCACCAGAGGTTTTAGAAGGAGCCATTAATTTCACGAGAGATTCATTTTTACGAATCGATATGTACGCTTGTGGTCTGGTGCTTTGGGAATTGGCTTCACGATGCACTGTACAGGATGTAAGATTCCGTTTGTGTATTTTAAATCATATAATATTGTATTTTTAAATATCATGTTTTGTTATTTTAGGGACCAATTGGGGAATATAGATTACCTTTTGAAGATGAAGTAGGTCTCCATCCCACTTTAGAAGACATGCAAGAAAGTGTTGTGCACAAAAAAGAAAGGCCAGTTATCTTAGAAACGTGGCGTAAACATCCCGTACGTAAATTTAGAAAAATATTAACCATTATTGTTTATTAAATAGAATAGATTTAAGGAAAGTTACTGTTGTTGCCTTAGGGACTTCAGTCAATTTGTGATACAATGGAGGAGTGTTGGGATCATGATGCTGAAGCACGCCTTTCAGCTTCTTGTGTAATGGAAAGAGTTGCTACATTGAGTAGGACACTTGTTTTAAATTCGTCAACGTTAATACGAGTTGATAATACCAACGAGACTATCACCACTAAGGAATCTAGTATGTAGTTAATCTATGTGTATTATAGCTTTAGTGAAATTGCACAACCATTTGCTGTATCATAATTTTTACATATACATCAATGAGGAATGTTAAAATATTGCATATCCTGAGAACTAGTTTGTTTTTATGTCTTTATTTCTTTTTTATATAAACATTTTGTTGCAACTTACTATAAATAATCATGAAATTATTATTTATCAGAAGTGTTACTATCTTCTTAGTGGGGTAAAGTAAACATATAAAGATTCCTACTTTCTTTTTTTTAATTCATATAAATAGTATGTTTTCCAAACACAGAGCAATTACATTCCTCGTTGATGTCAACTATGCAGTGATTGTTCTGAGATGACAAAGTGAATACTAGCCAAGTGAAATTTAATGAATAATTTTTATCTATAAATCATATTGTATGTGAATTGTTACAAAGAAGATGCCTCAACAATTTTATACAAAGTACCTGGTAGAAACAGTCAAGTTAACTGATTGGAAGCCATGGGGAATTTATTAGGCTTTCTGCATGAAATTAATAAGTTAATCTAATTATTTTGCATTTTATACATTATTTAAGGTGGTTACCTTGTTTCTGAAAATAAAATTGTATCCATGAACATGTTTTTATATAAGAAAAATTTTTTTTCTCTTTAAAAGTTATTACGTTCCACATTCAGTACGCGTGTAATTTATTTCAAATTTATTTTAGTTTATAGTAAGACATGATCTGATAAATATGGTAATTAGTTTTTTTTAATTTCAAACATAATATATTAAATAATCAAAATTAATGCTACTGGAATGTTCATGGATTAAATTTTATTGGGCAAAGTGAAAGTCTTCCTTTATATGTTTTGCTTCTCTTGTATTAATTTTTTTTTTAATAATATTACACAATTGTGTAAAAAAAGTTCTCGAATTAGTACACGTGTAATCTAGTTTTGAAATGAATCTTGCATCCACTATATGTACAGTGGATATCTAAGGCGTTAAATACATCATTATTATGTGCTATTTATATTGTTGCGCCGAGAAGAATTATCACAAGAGGGTTTTAATAATTACACGCAAATAGAAGAATCCCGAAGTTCACCTTGACGCAACAATATTATTTAAGATATCTAAGAAAACGGCGCATCTTGCTTGAACCAATATATGACAGTCCACATAATAGATATTGTAATAAATATTTTCATTATGCTTATTCAGTATATGCTTAAATCTTATTAGTTTTCTTATGCACCATCAAACAAACCAATATTTTTTAAACAAAATTTTGTGCAAGTAATATAACAAATTATGTTATTCCTTGTTAGAATGAAAATATGTAAAATGGACATTGAGACAATACTTTTCAAAGTTGAGAATTTTTTATCAATTTTAGATATCCTTTCAATTAGACTGAATAAATTTAAGAAACGTACAAGATAATTTTAATTTTCTTCTTTTTAATAATGGCCATTCAAGATGCACGTTTAAAATAATGTTTGTTTAAATTGTAGTTCTAGTAAATGAATTGCGAGTAAATGATTTCTTTTACTTGCTCTGAATTTTTTTCATTAGAGTTAAACTAAGAGATAAGTTTGGTTCAGTTTAAAAATACATCATTAATCGATCAAACTGTGTTCATAAATCACTGAGTTTTACAGAATGAAATTAGTTTGCTGTATTCGAGATTGCATAATTGCTCTACAAGCTGTGATAATAAATACGTGGATTAAGTATCGTAACCGACACGAATAAGGCCTAAATATATTTCAGATGTTGCTCATAATTCATCATCATAATTTATCAGAGCAAGTAAAAGATAAACAAATTGTTTTATCTTTGATACCGGGCTTTAGCAGTGCCAAAAGACTAATATTATATGCACACATTGCAGCTTCATCTTTGTATATTGATTTTTTAGCTATGTAAGAGACACTGAAATCGATAGTATATACCAATCAATCTTTAATATATGATGTTATAAATAGAAAATTAATCCATAATTGATTCTATAATATTATCTTTATTTTATAAAATTAAGGATCTTTATGTATAATATTTATCACCTCAATGCAATATAGTTATAACGATGTTAAATGATTAGAGAATCATAGACTACAGAGTTTATTTAACAGTTAATTTTATGCCATCACATATTTAAATCAATCATTTTACACGTTTCAATCAATTATGGATTAATTGCGTGACTATTTAAGAATTTAACAAATTTTTGGACTTTTACATATCGAAAAGCAGAGAACTGCGTTATTTATAAAAACGATTTCACTTTCAGTTCTTTCATTTCATGTACGCTGTATATGCCGAAGAATCTGTTTGTAAAAATTATGTAAAAATAATATTGTAATCTCATCATTGCTAAAACTTGTTACATAGTTACACGACTCAATAGAAAATCTTTGTGTAAAAATTTAAGGAGCGATGCATTTGATACAAGGAAATCAGTCTGTCAAGTTAAGACTGAAGTACAAGTAAAATGATTATTTGTGATAAGAAAAAGTGTTTTTGATTTTATGCCTACAGACTCAAAAGAATGCAATGGTGAGGTGATATTTTAAAAACATCATGTACATAGATATATAGACATACAAATCATAGGCGTGCATACAATGTATCGTGTTACACCGCTTATCTCTTACTGAATCATATCCCATAAATATATACAGAAGGTTAGGTTTTAATATTGACAGTACCACAATGGCATTCCAGTCACATATAATATACTGTATACTAATGTAAATCAATATTGTAATTTTTGACTTTTAGGGTATAGAAGTTCTTATCAACATCATTAATGTAAACTAAGAGATAGTTTCATTGTTTCTTTCACTTTGTATTACAGTCTCTTACGATTTCAAATTGTATAAATACTTCGATCAGTAATTTCAGCTTTATCGAAAAAGTATTAAATTTTATATACGTTTCTTTTTTTTTGTATGAATCAAATATTGTACTCGTTGAAAACCTGTGTTTGACAAACCCTGAATTTTTCTAATCAGTTATACTCGTATTTGCGTGACGTAAAATATCATTTTAACATCACATTTGTAAATATAATGAGCATCTTTTGTAATTTAGCGTTAAAGTATCAAAATATTTCCGATACCGTAATCAGTTTCATATCATACGTGACATACATACATGTCATTTAATCGCATTGTCTGTTTCTGGTACTGTTGTTGTTACTACTGATATACAATTTTGAAGAATTACCTAGTGATTTTTTGTAATACTTTGTTTATTACGTATTTCGCTTGTATCACATTGTATCATAATCTAGACTAATCAGACATATGTCTGTGTTTGGTCTGAATAAAAAGAATTGTAAATAAGATTTAAGCGAAATATACCTTAGAAGTAAGATCATTGAGAAACAAAGTAATTTCTTAATTATCGTTTAAAAATAATACAATTCATAGCAATAGAATGTTCCTACACATATTGGATGTAACCGTTTTCAAAATCATAGTAACAAATTTCTGCGATGATAGATGAATTTTTATATATCACTACAGCGTTGAAAACGTTACTTTCACACTTGATACTAATAAAACTGTATCAATTATGGAACATCATCTTTTTCACAAAATTGTATAAAAGGAATGTTGGTTACAGAGAAAGTTCCTCAGAATATGAAACGATCATGGTATCGACTATAGATATAATATTATAGAAGAGAAGGAATAAAAACAGATTGGTGCTTGGAAGAATACTATAACATTTTTTAATCTAAGTATGTAGATAATTTTGTCTTTGTTTTAATTAATAATAGGAATGATAACAAACGATCATTTGTCACAACTATTTACAGCTGTTTTATAGCAGTTTATTTTGTCAATAATGTAATATATTATATAACGTAATCTGCTTAGTTAAAGGCACGTGAAGTAATAAACATTGTAGTAAGCGAGACGGCTTAAATTGGTTTACCAAAGTTTGCAAGAAATGGGAACACATTAAAAAAAAAAGCGTATTTAATAAACGTGAACATTTTATTTATATATACAAACGTATATCAGCTAACACGTTTTATTATTTGCAAATTACATTATTAAACTGTGTACGTATATGCATCTGACACGTATAAAGCTACATTTCTTTTTTTACCTTTAGTCATATATATTGAATTTGTAACGCATATAACATATTTTAATCACACTTGACATGTATATTAAAGCTTGAAAAAATTGAATAACTTTAAACGATGCAGAGCATTGTTTCATACTTTGCTTCATATTTATTAATTTATATTTATTCTTACCTTCATATTCTAAATAAATAAGATGCCTTACAGGGAATATTATACGAGGAAATATACAGGGATACAATTACAATTTTAGATTTTATTTGATTACATTGTATGCCTTGGCATACCAAAGAATACATGAAGCAAGTAAAAAAATGTGATTTCTGCGAACCACAAGCGCGCAATACAATAATTTACACATCAAGTAAAATTAAATGAGATACTCGTTAAACGTGCGACGTACGGAATAGATACGAATAAAATATAAGTTATAACGTTAAAAATAAAAAAGATTCAACGGTATCGCACATTTTTGCATTAATAAACTTACCTATACACTATGATCACAGTTACATTCATAATTATAAGTTATTACATGTCATTGTCGTCTTTATCCATCATTATTATATATATATATATTTATCATATTTTACTGTATATATGTACATCCTGGTTATAAATAGGTATATGTTCAATTAATTAAATATAACCTGGTTTGAAAGCCTATGACTAGCGATACCTACTTCCTTTTGTCAATGACAATACGAGTGATAATACTATCGCAATTTGATATAAATGAAGCTTCAAACGGTCATGAATTATAACAATTACTTTACCATACTTTAAAAACAATTCTATACTTTTTCTTTGATACACTGTACATATTTTTTATCATTTCATCAGAACGTCTTCGTGGCGTCGAAGTCTCGTAATTTTGTTCCACTTATTTCAAATTCTCTTTAGTTACTCGTGTAAAATGTTCGGCTAAGTTTGAATGTAATGCACACACATCCGCGGAACCAAACCTTTTGCATCACCTCTTGCACATAATAACCATTTACTGTTTACTTCTAAAAGAACTTTCAGTTTCTCACCTTCTCCAAATGCGAGATGCCCATTTTCAGAACGAATTCTATGCGTAAGCGTACGAACCTCTCTGGAATCGAGATGTGTGAACTGTTATTTTACTAATCTATAAAAAGAGAACAAAACAGAACCAAAGATTAAGCTCTACACCTAGAAACCAAAAAATATACGATGCAGTCAAAATGATAAATGTTGCCAAATTCTAACATGTGCTAAAGCTTTATGCTAATAAACGTGAAATAAAATTTTGTGTAAATCTAAATATTTGGGAGTGCGCCAAAATGGTACGGAAGCGCTACTAGTTAAATATCTGAATAAAGGGAACTCGCTCCATGTAAGAAGGAACCATCGGTGCTGCACTGTACTTAATTTCGTACTTACTTAAGTCGTTTTTTGGAAGGATTTCTTGTAGTAGTAGCAGCGGTAGTTGGTCGTGGTAAAGATGTAGACGCTGCTCGTCTCTGTGGAGATACTACATTCTTCTCTTTAGACATTAATCCGTAGGACTTGTAGGGTAAAGAACTGGGTCGAGTTAAATGAGTTCGTGTTGTCCCTACAACTTCCTGATCCACTCTGCTAGTACGTTTCGGTACATCTTTACTCTTTATTTCAATAGGTTTTTTTGGTGTACTTTTTGTCGTCGGAAGTGTGACAGGTTTCTTTAAAGATGGAATTCCAGATACAGGAGATTTCGTGGTTTTAGAAGGCCCTGATATCGCGCTTGACTGTTTCACCGGCGAAGTAAGGAGTCTGGGAATTTTGGATTTTCCTAAACTCGTTGGTGTTCGTATAGGTGATGAAGGTAACACTGGTTGATTCTTTGGATCCTCTTTTCCGACCATCAATTCCCACTTTTCTTGAAGTTTCCTAAATTTCGCTTCGCCTGGCATACTATTCTCGTCGTCTATTTTACTCTCTTGACTGTGAGGCTTCGTGGAGACAGGATGTTTGCTGGACGCTCTGTTCAGTGGCGAATGTTCTAAACTGTCGGTATAGTCTTCAGAATCTTCAGAAGCTAGTTTGTCGAGAGCACGAAATACTTTTGAACCTATCGGATTGCTCAAACGTTTCTTTATAGTCTCCATATCGGGTTTATGCGAATCTCCTGGTTTATCGTCGTAGTTACCATAAGTAACGCAGGATCTTGGACGTATTTTTCTTGGACTAGAAACCATTGCACATGTGTCAGTTTTGTCGAAATGATGTTCCTTCGGAGACCGATCAACGTTTCTGAAGTTTACAGCCTGCAAAGTTATTATAGTAATATATGTAGTACCCCATCGTCAACGAAGAAAATTGTAATGATGAATAATGCTTGTGTGTCTTATTCCAATACTTACATTTATAGTATGATTATTTAAATTACCAAAACTATTATGAAGTTGACGATATTGGTATAGAAGATCGAGCTGAAATGGACAAAACGCGAGAGGATTTAGAATATATAAAAGAGCATCGACAACTTCTCGTGCATTTGAATTGGCTAAAGCTGCGACGAATAAACTGTTACTATTGTAATGTTTCCTGAGGATAGACTCTCTTGTACACAAATATGCAAACCATGCATCTAAAGCTCTCAGGCTGTAAAAAATATCAAATTCATTAATAGTATAATTATAGATCATACACAAAATATTGTTATTAATATTGTATTAACATACTTTAACAAGCCAAATACAAATGCGTGAAACTTTAACATTCCTTCTGTGATAACATCTTCGCCATTAATTTTTTGTACTAATTCATTCAATGTTTTAGTAAGTGGACCTTGCTGAGAGGATGCTTCAACCACTTGCCAAACACTGTTTGTTATTGGTCCAAATGTAGAATTTAAATGTGGTTTCAGTTCATCCGACATAATGGCGTATAAAGCTGGACATAAATTACTGAGACAAATTTGTGCACATTCATTTTTGTCACTGTAACTCTGTCTACTATGGGTCGATTCGCTATTCCAATACTTTAACAATAAATCTACTGCTTTATTTGCAGATAATATCATTTCTGAAAAACGATTATATCAATATATACATACTTATAATACATATTTGAAAAAGACTAACATATAAGAACTTATATATTTACTTCTCTTTTCATCTAAATCCAGTGATTTACTATCAGGACTCATGTCTATCCTGTCTTCTGTAAGTGCAGATTCTTTACTTTGTTCATTTGCAACAGTATTTAAATTATTAATCTGTAATAAACAGATATATTTTATATCAAACCTGAATAGTTACAAGATTAAATATACAATGTGAAAATAGTATAAAATTACCTTATTGTCTATACATTTTTTTCTTTGGTGTACGGCAAAACTGACAGTCTTTTTCTGTGATTCTATCATATCAGTAGCTTTGGTAATATCTTTATTCATTCTGAGTGATAAAAACTTTCGTACGTACGATCTTAGTTTTACATCGGGATCATCTACGTCCCCGTCACTGCTTTGTGACGAGAACCCACTACGTTTCAAAAATTCTTCCAACTGTTTCACGTCATCTTCATTATGTTCAAAGTTTTCAGTCTCTATATCTCCTGTGCTAGCCACTTCATTTACTCTTTCTAAAATACACACAAAAAGTTATTATAGTACATAACAGTATAAAATAATATTGTAAGATAGTAAAATATTTACCTGTGTGATATCTTTCTTCCGTTTCATCAACATCTTTTTCTGAATCAACAATCCTTGCACGACACGCTAACGGCAAATCATTGTTCATGTAGTATGGTTCTTGCAAAGACATTCTTTTATTTGCTTCAGGTGATTGATCCTCTATTTCTTCTACATCTCCCATTTCGAACATACTGTATCTCTTACTCGCAGGAACCTTGCTTTTTCTTAAAATACTTCTGGGTAAAGGTGGTCTTGGTGGCACTTTTCCATTACAAAAGTCGGATTCACGATCTCCATGTGGCAACGAGATCGATCGTTTTGGAAGAGACGGGCAGGACGATTTTGTTTTACTGATTTGCCTATGTACTTTTTTATCGTTACTTACTAAACTGGCCTCGGAGCTAATACTATCATAACGGTAAAGATACAATGGATTAGTTGGGTTATTTAATGTCTGCTGATTTGTCGAAGAATCGGTTAATATCGTAGACGAGCCTCGATATCCGGACGATGGCTGCGTTGCAGTGCTACTAGTAGAAGACGAATTATTTGGTATGACTTCACTCATGGGACGAGTTTTATGACGCATCGGGGGTGATAAACAAAAAAGAGGTTTCTTAATTTCTTCGTTAATGTTAATGTACCGTGACACTTCTGGTACATCGTGTAAAATTTTCTTGTACTCGGTAGGCAAAAGGAATGTCAATGACTCCCAGTCTTTAACGTGCGAAAATCCACGTTGGCGCAACGCATCTATGTCATTACAGGAGAACGGTCTACCAGACCTACCAGTATGCTTCCAACTAACTTTATTCTTTCCGAAACCCTGTGGCTTTAAGGCTACGTTATCCAATTTCGTATCTTTGATATTGAGAAACGATAAATCAGGCAATGCATAATTCGGATATACAACATAAACAGGTTTTTTATTAACAATTGTTTCCCTTAAAGAAGGATTTTCTTTCTCTGTAGGCGCTGTATATATTAAAGAGGTTTGAACTGCATTATCGTCCGTTTCAGCTATTGCTTGAATGCCCGTCGTTTTACAAATAGGATATTTTTTCTCTAAAGATTTAAGCCACGCAGTTTTTTGTTGTTGTTCGAAAGCAACGTCGAAGTCAGTTTGATCATTATCGTGCGTTAAATCTGATTTAGACATACTCTCCGATAATTCTTCCACGGATGCTGATGACATTTCATCTTTCTGCTCACTTATCATTGATGAATGTTTTGGAATGTTACTGAAATTATCTTTTTGATTTTCTACTTCTTGATTGTTATAAAGATCACCTTTGACCCAATTAATAGAAAAATCGCTTTCTGGAACTTGATGTTTAGCATCATTTATATCGTGCCGTTGTATCTGTGTATTTGTATTAGTACCACTGTCGCTAGCACTATTACTCGTAGGCCATCCATTATCACTAACAGAATCCGACTGATCTAGCGTAAGACTCATTCCTTCGGTGCTCATACTCTTTTGTTTCATAAATAATTTTACGAGACTTAAATTTTGCAATTTCTTTCCTGCTGTATTATGTTCTCCATTGTCTGAACTTTCTTCGTTAATAGATCGACTCATCACTGATCCCGAACTATGTAATTGTTGTGCATGATTGTTTGATTCTGCAGAATCAACCTGTTCAAATATATTCCAAAACTTATTTTAATGATTAATTCTTTCAAATCGCTAAATATATATAATTGCTTTGAAACTCACAGAAAAATTGAGAGGCATATTAATATGTTGTAATTGTGAAGCCTGTGTAAGATCTGGCAAGCTCTGACTTCTTTTATTTGTCCCGGTTATGATATTTTCAATACCGTGTAAAAATTCTGGTATTGTATTGTTATTGCCTGAAGGATGTCGAGTCATAACTTTGTTCATTGAAGAATGTTTCAAATTGCTCCACGTAGTGTATATTTTGGAATCAGAACATGCCATTGATACATCTAACACATTTTTCAAGTCATTATTCCGACTATAATATGGCTCTCCTGTTTCGTACGATTTTTGTTTTTCTGTAAAAAAAAACAACTTCCATTGTATTTATCTATTAATGCTATAGATTAACAATTGTCTATTTTTGTACCTTGATTTTCAAAATCTTGAGAACCATCTGAATACATTGTGATACTACCCTCAAAAGCAATAGTATAATTGTCTTTGTTGTTTGTCTGACATGTGAGCAGCATGTCCTCGCAGTCCAGAGAGTCGACGCTGTAGCTACCTCCCGGTGGTAGTACGGGTGTCTCTTTCAGAGGAGAGAAAAGCAGCGACGATTTGCATATAGAAATTGTATCTGTGGTCGAACAGGCTGAATCTTCTCCCTTTAATTGAAAATATATTACTGTTTCACTTTTCTAAATTAAATGTCATGCAGTTTGTAAAACTAGCAAAGCTCATTTCCATGCCCTTGTTAAACAATAAAATTCAGTTTATTAATGTATAAAACGCGTTTCACATTTATTATGTAATTAAATTATATTAAATTCAATGTTTTATTAACCATGCAGAGGAATTGCAAGCAAATTGTCTTTTATTTTCATGTTAAGCAAAATTCATGTCATAAGGTGTTTTGTATTATTTTCAACACAGGAAAAATCTAACATTTTCAGCCATTTTCATACCTGGCTGCTGGTATGAGGGCTGATAGATGAACCGATGTCAAGTTTTTCCATAACAGATCCAGATATACTGGCATATCGTTCCCTTTGATAGTTAAACTGTTGTGATAATGGAATAGATAATGCATTTAAGTTAAGTTACTTACAAGAACAACAGCGAATAGGGAATTTCTTATGCTCTTGTAATAAAAGATTACTTAATTATTTATAGAATAAAAAGTAAAAGTTACAAAAAATAGTTCTACAAAATATTAACTCTTGCAACCGAAAAATGTACAAAATATATTTGCTTGCAAACTATCCACAGTAGAAATAATTCTTGCAGAAGACTACATATTATAGAACTTATAATATTGCTATAATAATAAATTATAAAATTAACTTATGTATAATAATATACACAATAATTACCTCTGAATGCTGAACTGGATCAGTACACATAACAGGCAATGCAGTGAGCAAAGTATGAATGTCCGCTGTACGAAAACTCTCCATATCAATTTCTGCCAAATTAGCATCCAGGTTACGGGCCAGGTCATCATAATAGCCCAAATCTTCTCGAGAATATGAAGCAGAGAGTGAGGATAATACGCTTGGATGAACATGAAGTCCTCCATCTCTGTAGCTGACATTTTGTACACAACTAAGTGCTTATGATTATAAAAAATGTAGACTACATTACAATCAATTAAATGATTACCCATAGTCAATGAACCACTGATATTCCACATTGTCCTGCACAAAGTCAGAACTAATCAAATCATGTTGGATAGAATCCGTTGCAGGATTGGAATTGCAATCAGATCCTGGTGTTTGTGGATCTTCCATCACTGCAGCCCCTTTGTCTGCACCTAAAATGTATACAATATAATGCATTAGTAAGTACACAAATATTAATAAATTATTGATGAAAATAAATAATAAGAAACGGACCCATATTTGACACATTAAATATGTTTTCATTATTCATCAAGTATACATGTATTTCTTGTCAACTTAATATCATAAATCTTGTGCCATATAAAAATATCCACTATTTAAAATAATGTGACTGGACCATAGTTACATGTATTTACATCATCTGTAGATTGATTACAGTGTATGACAGGCTGCTCTGTATTGAAATTTTATAAAATCGTGTGTTGCATATTATAAAAATTACATGACAAGGCAGGTAAATGTTTTCTGTACAATTACAATTCAATTATACGTAATAAACCGTCTATCGAAATACAGCGCACATAGCAGTAACATCACGGTACCAACAATGAGTCACATCTTTTTGAGCACTCTGTAGATGACAATTCACTGTACTGATTTTGATAAAAGCATCAATGAAACACTGATAAGCATTCTTCTTTTTTGCACGCTACGAAACTGTCACGATAAAGAAGTGTCAGCGAATGACGTCAGGCAGAGGTTATGGCAAATTGTATTTAAGCAGGTAAAACTCATGTTCCGTATCAGGAACGATCAAGGCTGCGCGTCATCACTACTCTCTTAAGAGGGCGTGTTTTAAGGTTAGTTGTCACATAATAAATAATTAATCGATTGGTACGCATCAGCTTTGGATTGAGCAAGTGATGATGCTCTGGAAAATCTCTGAGTATGAATATTTCAAATAATTTTTTCTGAAAGTTTACTAAAATAAATAAAATTCAACATAATTTAATATTGAATCATTGACGCATGGAATGACTGACAACTATAAATTAGAAACTTTGCATTGTAACGCAAAAAACGTATATGTACAAAATGATGAATTAGATAAATAAGTATATTAGATAATAAAGTAGACTGCACTATTTTATTTTTTAAGGAACGATTATTTTCTAAACATATATGAGCAATAATGCACTTAATGTTTTGTTATTTACGTAGTTATTTAATGATTACGTGAATTGTTAGATGTGTGACATTAAGATGATGTTTATTTCCTCGTAAAAAATGAAATGTGATCGAAAGTGAAACAGAATTAAAAAAAATGATCTCGAATACGCGTTACAATAATCGTACCTCGAAAAATTTTTTTCCATCGCATCGCCAGGGTCATTTGAGTTTTGTTCTACGGAAAATATTTACATCCGATAAATGTTATCCGAAAACACTCATGCTCGCGACCATATGGCGACAACCCGCCCGTCACTCATACTTAGGAATTCATTTCAACTGCGTCTATGGAGCATGATTGCTCATGCGGCGCATGAGCATTACCAATCCAGCGTAAAGGGTGGGCAAAAGGAAATCAGATACAACATGCTTGAATTAAGGTTACGATACAAAACGTTTGATTTCTTTCGTTATTTACTGAACAGTAGATTAGAATAAAATATTCCACAGAAATGTCCACAACTGTGCACGCGACACTGCAGTATCTAGACTGTACATTTTTCGTTCCTTAGGACTTTTTATCAGACGTGTTATAAACAAAGACATCTTGTGTTCACTATTGGACCAGAGAGCGAAGTACAAGAACAAAAAAGAAGAATGTAGGATCAAAAGAAATAGTACGGTGAATTGTTGCATCATTGAATTGATGATAATATAAAAAGTATTTCTATTGAAATATGAACAGTATAACTTGGCAGCTAGTGTTATATTTCTAAGTGCAGTATGATGGTTATTTTAAGATACAATTTGTCAAATCTGGGGATAATTAATGAGGTTCGTATATTGCAAATTATAATTTGTTAAAGTACGAAAGGAAAAAAGTCCTTCGTGGTGCTTTGTCCGCAATGTCGAGGGCACTGGATAATTTTAGCGAAGTCGCGGCAGAACGAGTAAAGAGGAGGAAGAAATTCGAGAGCGAAATTTTGCAACTCGACGGAAAATTTTACACGCAATGCAACGAAATATAATCCTACTATAATTTCTGCCAAAGAGACCGGTTCTGCCATTTGGCTCATGTTTATAACTTATTTTTCAACTGAATATAGATTCAGCTAGTAGAATTGTCTTATATTGTCTTATATTGTCTTTTATTGTAATCTAAAAATAACTTTGGTTTCTTCCACTTCGTGATAACAAATCTTTGATTGACTTAAAATCTGTATCGGATAAAAATATATCATGAATCATTTATCTTGATACTTAAACGTCCCAGATGTCAAAGTATTTATTTCTTGGGTAAACACTTGTAAAGCACTCCCACATGGAGTAGCTAGCCGAAAATAGTAGCACAATACCATTTCTCGCAGCTGTGGGAGAGTTTTAAATTGAGCACCATTTCTTTTCGCTTATACATATTTTATGACGTTATTTCGTATTTGATCTCTTATTTAACTTTATCTACAGTAATTAGGTGGTTAAGAATCATGCACGGCCTTCAATGAAATAATATGCAGACTCTTTTATTATGCTAATAATGAATCCGATTAGAAGTGATTGCAAATTAGTGAAGGGTATCCATGTGTATACACGGAGAAACAGACTTGGAAGAAAAGTGAAATCGTCACAATTGTGAACCGGAATGACTTCTTCGTTTGTTGAGCTAAGAATTTTTTAAGAATCATTATTCGTTCGATTTGCAAGGTTAGCAAATCCGGTCACTCTTCCCTCCATTTTGCACTTTAAGCTTTACCATAGATACCACGACGGGAATCGGCGATGCACGGAATTATGTACATATTCAAAAGACTAATTAAACTTGTAATTTGCTAATAATTATACTAGTATCTGTAAATAATGACGGAGATAAAATGTAGATATCGTTTCTCCTCTCTAACTGACATTCTTTCCTATTGTCAATAAATATAGCAGTAGATTTATATTGAATATATAAATAAATTAATTTTATATTCTTACGATTAAACAGTAAACAATTGCACTTCGCATTGAGTCGTCGGTAATACTTCCGTTCCGGCCTCTTGGATTTACCATAAAGATGTGGCGGTCGTGCAGGGGCTTGAAATGGCGGGCTCATCCGACCCACAGAGAACTCTGCTATTTTCATGATGACGCACAACAAAAGCACTAGCATCATTTGTCAATGTTTAATATTTTTATAAATCTATCACGTTACAACATAATAGTAACGCTTTAGCACTGTACGACGGTTCAATGAAAACTATCCGATATCACAGTACTATGATTGTACAAAAAAGATTACACTAAGTTTTATCAGTTGTCCAAACGCGAGCACACTGAACCTCGCTTGTCCGTTCTTTTAAAATGTTCACTATTCATTATTTCAGTTCACTGTGCAACGTACATTTATCACTTGAAACTTCTATCGCAGACGCGACATTTTAGTCTCTGAACATTTTTTTATGCATGAAAGACGTGTGCACTTTGACGGACGAAACACGCGCAAAATAGCGCCGATTACTTGTCGGTACTCCAACCGATGACACCTTTCAAACGTACCTTTGTTTAAAACCACACCATTTTACTTTGCACAACATCGTGACTGAACTCGCGTTTCCGTTTCTAGTGACAAGAAAAGCATAGTCTGTCCGCAAAGAGGAAACACCCCGAGATATCTAAAAACCTAAATATCAAATGTGTATACTAAACTTTTATGGAAACCTACCATACCACTATTATGCACTATTTTTAAAACACAAGAAAATTACTTTTACAAGAAATTCACTTTTTTAATAAGAAAAGGTTCCAATGTTAAATAAATAGACAGAAGATTCAAGAAATAGTGATAAAACTATGCTTTTGGCATCGGTCTAATATTCTGTCCGGCAACAGTAATAATAGTCATTACGTCAGCACACGCGTTCAACTGCCTAAATTACAACAAGTGGGGAAGCAATTGTTTCGAGTTAATCGAACGTTAAGATAACGAGGGTTCGTCAAACCGATTAATGCTTTGAAATACGAACGAAAGATAAAAAAGTTATTGGAACGTTGAGTCACACATCCGATAATTGCGTTAATGTCTGTGGGTTAGTGGAGTACTATATAAATGTAATGAGAAAAAAATGTATACATTAAGTAATATCGTTGTACGAATTGGAATCCCATATCAATACCGGAATACAGATTATTTAATGTCGATTTTTTTTTAATAAATAAAGTAATCGTAAACAGCAATAATATTTTAATACTCGGTTTTGATAAAAATATACTTGATAAAAAATTATGTTGTCAGAACGTGCAGTTAAATATTAGGAGATTCTACTGGATGCTGATGAGAGTGGTAGTCTTCTCACCGGAAAATGGCGGCATAAGAAAAGTGATCTTACCACACGTTTTTGACCAGTTACTCCCCAAGTTTAGAATTTTTTTTTATATATATAATCGCTTAAAATTGAAGGTAACAGAGTCTTCCTATCAAAAGTTCTACATTGCACCTAACTGTACATGCAACTGCATGTACGCATAATAAGAGAACGCACGTAAATACGCAACTGTTTACCTATCGGTAATCTATCGAGTATCGATAGTGTCGAATGATTAATCTCGTTAACATCATTGTAAACAATATACTACAGATACGATGCATCACATCTAACAAACGAATTATTGTGCCAAACAGCTGACAAATTAACCTCAATACTATTTAATAAACAGTAAACTATTAAATATTTCTAACCAGATACTATGTCGATAATATAACATATCCCATAAATCGACACACTGTAAAAGTAGCGTTCATCGGTCCTACACAATTCCTGTCAAAGATTTTCACGAAAATCAGAACGAGCACACGATTTATGAAAATGTCATCGATGCACCGGATGTTCGCTTGATGTTTCACGAACACATTTTCGAAATGGTTCGGTCACTCGCGGACACCGAATGCAATCACGAGGAAACTTTTCCGACGTGATTATTTCGATGGATAACACTAGATATAACACGTTGTCTTGTCTTCCGATAACACTGGAGGACAATTTAATCCGCTTGGCGATTATAGACACAAGTTGATGAACGAATAAAACACGATTTTTCCACGTTTATTTTGGCGGAATCAGTTTCTGGACCGCAGTCTGAGTCAGACTGCCCTAACAGCATGTGTCCTGCGCGGGAGAGCGTTTGCACACGGCACGACACGACGCGAAGTTTAATCTCTATTAATAAATACCCGCTTTGCCTCGGCCAGAATAGAGAGCAGCTCTACTGGTGGCTCATTGAATGCATACGCAGCGTTTCATATAGAAGTTTGTAATAAACGTAGTTTCACTTCGTTCCCAATTTTTAAATAATAGGTGCATAGAAAAGAGGTTATATCACGCAGGGAAAAATAACACGATCGATATAACGTTTCGTTTTTTAAATACGGATCACGAATATTTGTTTCGATTATTGTAAATAGTCTCACAGGTTCGTTTAGAATCTATTCTTCCATCATGTTGAATGGAATTTGATCGCGTTCGGTTAATTACTTAACGATAGCGCTCTTGATTCGGGTAACTTCGAGTCATCGCTGCGATTGTGTTACTCCGAGAAATCGATTCTCGGATTAAACAAAAATAACTCGATATTTTTGCTTGACCGGATAGAATGAAAGATTTCTGTATCTGATGTCAGTGCTGTTCTCTCATACTGTTTAATTGGAAAATTTTTTTATTATATCTGTTTGAAATAAATTATTATGGTTGTACAGTGTGGTATAGTAATAGTATAGTAGTATAGCAACATAATGAAGCGTGTACTACTTTATATCGACAAGCAGACATGTTTAAAAACATGTCACGTTAGAATTAGGATGCAAACCATTAATGCGTTCAGATTGAAATATTTCAGATACATATTGCAATGTATGCTGTGAAGTACAACAAACGAATTGTCAAGGTAACATAAGTACGTATAATACTATTGTTCTCGCTCAATTGTCGACGTAACTTAATAAGCCTTAGTGCACAAAATACAACGAAAAATCAATAGAAAATTAATGCGGTTAAGGCGAACTGTGCGGACGAACAGAAAGAAACAGGACACCTAAATAATCGCGTTTGTCTCAATCGCATTAAAGACTTTTCCTTCGTGTCGAATACAGTGGATCAGAGATTTCCAAAGTGCGAGTGGATCACTTTCGGGATCGCGTTAAATATTAAAATATAAATATTCATCAAGAATGGAAGGGACTTTTTTCGGATATTATAGGAATTTATAAGTATATAAATTGAACTTACCAACGCGTTCTCCGTTGCCGCAGACAATACCTGTCGCCAAGGCCTAAAAAACATCATGATATTAATACTTACATCTTTGTCAATTTTTTAGTGTCAACAAAAACTGTTGGATACAGTTCCATAATATAAATTCGATACACCCTAGAATACTGTGGCATTTAAGCCTTATTTTCACAGAGACCTCCGATATTTAAAATAAAATTTAATTAATTTTCTCGGTAATTTGAAATTTTTGCGGAAAGAATTTCACATTCCAGAATTTTTTCTCGCAAGCAACGCGTTATAAAATACCACGCTATTTTTGAACCTTCGCAAGTACAGCGAAGCAGTATCTTTGAAAGATTGCGATGCATTCCCCTCGAGAGCTAAGATAAATATCGCTAACAGGCAAATTCTTCTCTCTGTTATACAATGGAAAAAAATGGTAATTCGATAACTTGTTATCGGATAGATTTATTCAGAGATGAGAGTGTAACGCAAGATTGATTAGACATGACAGTGTGGGTTCTTCTTTAGCAATTCCGAACCACGTTTTTCTTTCCGCAACCCACATGGCTTTGTTTCATTCTTTCTTTTTCCTACAGGCTATGTCCATATAAACCTCGACACACATGAATAGAGGCGTCACATTGTAATTATGCGGCCCGAGGAAAGGCAACCAAGAAACGATTCTTAAGCTATTTTTCCGGCGGAGACAAAAACCGAGCAGGAACAAGGTCACTGGATCTTAACGTTTCTAAATAAGAGGAGGATGAATCAGTCTTAGCGCAATTATCGTACGCCACTTGAGCTAAATTGATCGTTTCCAGTTCGCAATTTGAAACCACCATATTGGTTCGATAAACGCCTCGATAGATAACGTCCCAAAGATTTTTAATTCTTTAATCGTTGTCTTCAAAATATCTGTACAAAGGTAAAAGGTGTATCTATATCCCTAGATTCTGGTATCTTGACATATATCTCTAAATATACTTATGTTCCTACTAGGTCCCTAGGTCTCAAGATATTTGTAGATGCAGTACTGTATCCGTCACTAGATATTTCAGTTCATTTCTAGATTTCTATATCGATTTCCAGATTGCAAAAATTTAGCAATACGTTGCATCACTTGTTAAGTAGTTTAAGTAAAAAGAAAAGTAAGGTGAAATTTTGCTGGTGTTTAATTGCTAATGATGGATGTTTGCAGTGTATACGATGATATTAGCGCAAAATGCGGTACAGAATGTAGTCCTTCGACGAGACGTAACCTTCGCATCGATTTTATGTATAGCAGAGGTCAATGACGTATTAGGTTGAACTATGTTTCGGAAATGCGTCGAGTGTAAAAGGTATTTCTTTGGTTTCATCCGCGAGATGTAGATTTGTACCGGTGATTACGTTAATGTAGACGGGAAATAGAGATACGCCCACGGTGCTAGAAAACGAGTCGATATTAGAAGCGACCAAAGTACTCACGTTCATAGTGAAGGGACAGCTGACAGTCGATCCACGTACACTCAACACTGCCACGAATTATGACATCGCGTGAAATTTCGCGTGGATATCACTTTACGATTACGGTGTAATTATATACGCATGTCACTTCTTAAAAATCACGAAGACGTACTTTCCGGAATGCATATTCTGAGTCACTCTGTCGAGGAGAGCCCCTCCCTGACTGCAACAACCCTTGTCTAACGTGAAATGCGCATGCTCTCGAATTCGACTGGTCGTTTCTGGCGAAAGGGGATGATTCCGTTCTTAGCACTTAGGTCCTCCTCGCGTGCAATTTCAAGCACTAACACCCCGACCAAGTATCGTCGTTCGAATCCATGCAAGGGGAACGGCGATAAGGAACTGTCGGTGGTATATTCAACCCCCTAATGTTTTTGAGGTTATGCTGCGCATGTCTAAGCACCCTCTCCAATCCTCAATCATCGAACGGCTGATCCATGATTCTCTCCCTCTCAGTCTTTCAAATATTTTCAATGATAATTCTCCTCGAACAACAAGATTATTCGTGCATGAGTAATCATTTACCGATAACGGTGAATGTCACTGATTTTCGCAACACACTTTCTTCGAGACGAGTGTTACGATTCTGAACCCGCTTCGCCTTATATTGATTTTCTGCGCTTTGATATCCGTGTCTGGAAAGGTTGTTATTTCTTTGCGTGACCTTATGCTTGCAGCTTTACTGCAGATGGGGGCGATAGTGACCGAATAAAATCGTTTGATGTTCGAGAAATTTTTTATATTTATTCGATAATCAAAAAATCGTGTTTTAAAGATTTATTAATATATCAAATCATTTTTACTACTCAATGCACAGTGTTAGATATGTTTGAAAATAGCGCATTGACCACATGCCTAATTATTATTAAAACAGTTAATATATATGAGTTACCATACTTAAAAAAACGTAATTTCAGAATCATAAAACAGATGATATATGACAATAAATTTCTTAAAGATAATTTCAACAATTGTTATGTGTTTGACTTCAGTCATACAGCAATCAATCGATGCGCGCCATTTTTTTGAATTTTTGAAAGTCGACCAATCAGCGTCCTCTGTAGGCGAGAGCAGACTGCATTACGAAATGTCAGTCAGTACAGTTCGACGCATTAATGTAGGACGAAGTACATCCCACTTTTTGAGGTAAATTTGACACTTCTTTACTTTCTATCTCCCATATTTACAAAATTATATTTCCAATTTCCTACATTTCCTACATTTTCAATTTAAAGCCTCTGTGAAGCCTCTTTCCTGTACCCCACCATTTTCTCCAGGAACGTGTACCATTCTCGTTGATGTACAGCACGTGGTGAGTAATTAATTTACGATGTTTACACCGGTACTGTCATAAACTTTAAATGATAGTATCAGTCTTTGAATCTGGTAAGAATAATTCGCGTTAATATGTCGTACAATGTAACATAATATATCAAAAAGGTAAGGGTGAGCGGTACATGTATTTTTTTTGTATGTATTAAGAGTGGTCAATAGGTTCAATACAAAAAAAAAATTAGAAAAATTGATCTGCCTTTTATTTGATATGCATATAATTGACAAATGTTAACTTTGTACCAGAACAATACTTTATTATCTTATCTTGTAAGGTACAAAATAAATACTTTTATAAAAAATATAAATTTTCAATACATTGCATATAAATGACATACATGTATGCAAAAATTCGTACACAGTAACATCAATGTTAAAAGGATATGTCCCTATTGATTGTCACAGGTTTGATGGAAGTTACACATGATCATACTAACTATTTTACTCTAAAATTGTAAAGTAATTATGTACAGGCCTTAGTTTAATCGAGGTGTATGCTATAGGTATCTCCTATTAAAGATATTAATGAAATATATTATCTAAGGATTCTATAGAAAATGTAAGAGATATTCTTTTGTGCGTATTTTTAAATTCACTTTTTATGGTTTGGCATGATTATAGAGGAACTGTTGTACTTAAGCATACATGTTGCGACTCTTTTATGTTACAATATTATCTTTCTAACTTTCAAATTAACACTTGTATTATACAAACTGTATTATATTTGTGCTATGATTAATTGATTGCGACATAATGACGACGAAAGCAAACATATGTAAATTTTTACTCGGAAACCATATTAAGTACGTACATGTATGTACATGTCGCATTTGAAATTAAATATTTGATTTAAAAAAATACAATTATAATAACATTTGCTTATTAATACTTATTATTTTGCCTTTTCTTTTCAATACTAATTCCTTTTATTGCTGCTTTCCTTTCTACGGAGTCTCCACTTCCTTTGTAATGAGGAGTAAGGAATGTGTGGTGTTAGATGTCGCAAAATTCGTAAATGTTAGAAGCGTGCGAATCCCGAATTTTCAAAATCAAGGTGGAGCGGTAAACTTCGGGCGAGATCAGCTAAGATCTCAAAAACTTCGGGTCGATTCGACAAAAATCGGACGCATTCGGCTTTCTTCGGTCGTACAAAGTTTCCCGCGTCGCTTTCTTTTTGAAAGTTTGGCATCCGGTGTACTTCTAAATGTCTTTGTCATCGTATGACTTTGTGACAATAATTTACTTAAGCCAAGGCTACCTAAATTAAATGCAAAAATAAATAGGTATTTTCATTTTTAATGCTGAAAAGTATACTGTTAAACGTAGCGTCTATTTTTTGGTGTTTTGCGACATCTTTGTCTTCCAAAGATCGCAATTGTACAAATAATAATGGTTGCTAAAAGCACTGCGCCCACTGCCCATACTGCTTTACTAGTATTCATCTTTGGTTTCTTATCTTCTTCTGTATTAAGTGGTGACTCATCGAAAGGAACCTCAGTCATAACTTTTGTCTCAGTGTTATGATCTTCTGCTTTGTTCTCAGGTATATGTACAGACGATTTAGGTTCTAAATTTGTATTGGAAGCAACTGCATCATTCATAACTCCTCTGCCGTCATTTTGTTTACTCGACAATACTCCATTCGCTTTTCTATGATCTTTGTTTACACTTTTTGGCGCAGTGGTAGTAGTAGTACTAGTAGTTGTAGGCCTGACAGTGGTCGTTGGTGGGGCATTGAAATCTGTGATTATTTTCTTTTCTAAATCTTGTAAGTCCGTTTCTTGAACTGCTTTGTATTCAAAATCTTCTTCCAGCTCATCAATGAATTCCTCTAGTGGCGAAAAAAATGACAGAAGAGCATCCGATGAAATTGAATATATTTCTAAGTACTTATCGACTACTTTTGTCCAGTCGTCAGCACCTCCATGTAAAAGCATTTTTCTGTTAACAAAATAATCAGTTCTGAATTTCTCCCTTAAAATAATTGTTATAAAATACATGTTTCTAAATAATACATACATAAAACTAGCGTCTACTTGTTTTCTTATAATTGAATCGTATCTAATCTCTGTAGACTCCATCAGAAACTCATAGAATTGAAATGCCAGAAGTGTACCAGCAAATTTTCTGCAAAAATAGAATTTGTACCAATATTATCGAACCTAGATAGATTGCCTTCTTTCTAATTTTTATTAGTACTTACGGAAGATATGGCTTATTGCTAGTAATGTAATCGTCGTTTAAAAATGTAGGCACATTAGTTCCGTTGGAATTAAGTCCTTCGTACTCTTGCCTTCAATAAGAAATTAAAATTACATCTTTGCCTTGTTTTGTCATATTAAGTCTTTCAAATAATAATTACCTATGCTTCCACCATGACGATATTAGTTCTTCAGGATCTTTTATTCCTTCATTAATGGCATTAATTCTCCACATATCTGCAGCCATATAGTAAGCAAGGCTGGGTAATACATTCAGTGCAGTAATCATTAACGATACGATTAAACGTTCATTATTATCGGCCGAATCATTCATAACTTGGGTATAATTTAACCAAGCAGGACTTGCTGCTAGAATGCCAAATAGTTCTGACAAACCTTCCTCTAAAGCTACAAAATATAATATTTTTTAATGAGTACTGTGACATCATTGCAGTGTACATTTAGATATTTTCATTCTTACCAGAATATCGATTAGCGGTATTAAGTACCGGTATTGTCTCGATAGACATCTGATTGAATATAACTTTTCCTACGTTCTTATATGCAGATAGAACATTGCTTATAGTAGGATCAAAGCAAGTAGACACCCTATAATATGAAATTTTCATTTGAACAACAGCACACTTTTTAATAAATAAATTATAGCGCAATAAATGTATACCTCAAACTGCCTTCTTTACAAAAATTAATCAATTTTGATGGGCATTGTTTATTGAAATCGCTTTTCTCCCAAAATTCAGCTTGTGGCACTTGATTCAGTAATTGTGTGCTCATACTAGCGGCTGTTTTGTATAGTGATTTCCCAAGAAGTTTCTAAAAAGGAATTTAATTAATATATCATTTTGCTCGCGCGTTAAATGAAATGATAAATAAAACACATCATTTTTTACCCTTTTCCAGAGATTCTTTTTTATGCTGTACATTATATCCGGGTAAGGCGTTATATCAACCGATATAGGTGTCCAATCATTTCCTTCCAGAGATCCTTTTTACAAAAAAATAACAATTCTTAATTGAAATATAATCTACATACCGAAATCGTATTGCTTACCAAATAAATAAGCTGGTGCTGTATCATTCACAGGTATCTTGTACTTCTGAGATAAGTTACTAATTGCAAATTTCAATATTTTTTTGTGAAGATTAGCAATCTTACTCCATTCATTCTGAATTCTATAATAACCTTCATCATAATTACTTAAGAGCTCCCAATATGTTGTAACATCTTTGGCACCTAAATCAGACATAATATTTATGAATCATACACAAAATACAAAATTTCTTCATTGATACTAACCATTTGCTTTGGCAGCTGACTCAACAAGTGGAAGCACAGTTGTAAAGTTCTTAACTAATGGGGCTAACTGTTGATGCCAGGCTGTCCATACATGACTCTTATTTTCAACATTATTACTATGAGATAGGAGATATTCTACATCTAAAAGCATTCATATTTTTAATATTTTATGCACATACGATTTTCTCTGATAACTAATTGCAGTAATTATAATACCTTTGCGTGTATAATTATGTAAACTGTCCATATGGACTGCAGATAATCTCAATAATTCAGCTACTCCAGCAAAATGAATAAGCTATAAAATGTATAATCATTTTAAGTTCATTTAAATATTAAAAATCATCCAAATTCATCTTACCGTTTTATAATCTTCACTTTCCAACAAAGCATCACCTGCTTTTTCAGCAACATCATACTTGTATCGCAGAGATGGATCATCTATATCATCCTTTGAAATATTGGCAAGCTCGTTCTTTTGTACATTCTTGAAAGCGGCGTAAGAAATTAATTTCTCTTCCTGCAATATACGAAAACGATTTACATTTAGAAATTTCGACCGAATTTTTCGCTTCGCGGAATTTATTAAGCGAGAAACTTACCCACACCGACAGTGTTTTATTCGACGGAGAGTTAATGAACGCCCATTCAGCCTCGGCTGCACTTGTACAATTATCCTCATAGTCGAATTCCGTTAACTGTATAAAAAATTTCGTCTGTTCATTTTCCACCGAAGCGACCGCACAGATCACGAGGTTAACAATTATATAAATCCATGTTGATGGCATCCCTTCGAACTAAAAAAGAAAAAGAAAAGTGTTTAAGAACCACAAAAACACACGAAAAAAACGTAATTATATCGTTTTGGATATTCCAACGTTTTAATCTATATCCATCGTCGATTTCATGAATATTCAGTGATCTTGTTATTGAAGCAAGAGCACGTTGTTTTTTTCTAACTAAATATTACGCATCGATAAATGAGTCATTTTGTCACTGTCATTCCTTTCAGCGAAAACCTGACTATTTATGTTCCGTTCTATTGTATATCAATATATCGATGTAAAATCACTGTGTTCTAAGAAGTTCACGGTTATGTCTTAATGCTTAAATAATAGAACATTTTTTATATGTTAACTTTATTAACTACTCTCGCTATTTTCTTATGAAAACGCAAGAAAAGTATTAAATTTATGAATTTACAGCTGAACGGAATTCCTAGAAGGAGATACTGATGGTGATTAACCTTTGGGCCCCGTGCTGTTTCGGACGCGTACCCCGCCTGTTTCAAACAACGGTTCTCAGTCTTCGTCACGATATAACGACGTCGTAAATTAGAAAAAAATTACATGAAATTTCATAATTCGATGTGTAATCATCTGATGAATATTTTTTGTACAAGTCCCGTTTGTATATCTATTTAGAATATGGTATTTAAGTACGTAAGAATTTATTATCTGTTATTGTCTACGTAATGACACGGAACATATTTCTCGCATAAAATTAATACTCGTCCCATGACGTGTACAATTAAGGAAAATCGTGACTGGGAGGTTCGCGAATATCCTACCGTCGTGATCAGTCACACAGTACGGTCACATATCTAATTGTTTTCAATTTGTTACGTGACTACGCCTGAGCAAACAATTATGATCATGAAGACTATTATGGAGATCATTGACACGTTAAATTGAACATCGATTCTCTGTTACGCAGCATTCTGTTCTCACGTGGAGCGTCTAACGCACTCTCAAAAAAATGGCAACCACTTAGCTAGTTAATGTACTTGAAGGTCTCGAACACTAATACGCTGAAATTTGATATATGGCTATATTTTCAAACCGTGTACTTATTTCCGCATGCTTTTGTACGACGTGGGCTATAAAATATATTAAGAAAAATATATTAACAACATATATAAATGTATAAAGAAAATATGTGTTTTAGATTCACGCGTTACTTCACTTTTCCAATCGTCTTATCTAACTAAAAATTATTCTGATGAAATAACGTGCTGCATTTTTCTTCGTCCAATCACGTAATATCGTTATTAAATCATCGTCGATTCGGTGAATTGGTAATCTAAGTCACCGTTTTGTAGAAACATACATTGCGTGGTAAATAATGCTGAATACAATAGAATTCGTTGATAAATAATACATTCCGAATGTAGGTACACGAGGGTCATGGAAGTATGGCTTACGTGATATTCCGAAATATAAATCAATTTAATTCAATACGATTTTCAACTTTCGGTCATTAAATCTTCTAATCCGAGCTGACAACGATAACGACTGAACGAGAGTCAAATGAAAACGGTAACTAATGGCTCTAAATTGTGCTAACAATGTAATATAGAAAATTGAAGCATTATAGCATTAAATCTCTGATAAATCATTTTATGTTTGATTTATTGCATTCAATTATTTCTATTATGGTGGTAATAACTGGTACAAATTTGTTCGTTATCTTTGTTGTATTTTGCATAAACGTCCGTTAAAAATGTGATAATGTGTGCAAATGTCAGCTCTTTCAATGAAAGCTTATGCGGTAAAAATGAAACTGGTTCGACCCATTCCATTTCCGTCGTTACCCGTATTTTTTCCTGTCGATGGACTCCCGTGGCGGAACAAACTGTCATAAAGAAGTCTGTCCTTAAAATCGAAGGTCTTTGTACAAAAGTTTCACCAGTATGAAAGACCACTTTCCTACAAGAGAAACGCGTTGAACCAACAGAACCGAGAAAACGAATTTGACCATAATTGGATCGTTACTGCAAAATTGTTTAAATTTGAATTTGCAAAATTAGCACATTATTATTGCAAATAAGTGACGTATGGCAGTTCAATGTTACCGCCCAAATGAATTTCAGGCTCGTAAACAAGTACCGTGATCCAAAATTAAACGAATTTATAAATTGCACTGCGCATGCAAAAATAGTTGTATAACTGCACTTGTAGACGTTTGTGATAAGCTTCTTACTACAGATTACGCATTTGGGTCGTAACATACACGATATCAACGATTGAGCGATTTTTCTAATGTTATCTAACTAGAGTGACCGTGTATTTGGTTGTTCAACGAGATATCGCGATAACGAAATCTGTAAAATCCCGCGAAGTTTAAATTGCGGAATCCTGTATAAAATACGCCGACACACGCGATATATCTAGCTTAAAAATATACCGTATCTGCTTTCTACATTATCGTGATCATCGATCCAAATCGCATTTATTACAATACAGCATACTTTCATTACACTTTCTTTGATCTTTTTTCATTTATTCTAGTTCGGAATTGAAGCGGTTGTTTAAAATACCAACACTAATAATCGAGATAAATTCAATTAAATTGAATGAAACTTAAGGTAATTTCACTTATTTCTTTGAAATAACTTCGAAACGAGTGGCCCGTTGTATTGGACAAGCACAGACGGATCATTTTCTCATTTGGATCGGTGACAAAAGAACAAATCTAGTTCAGTATCCTAATCTTGCTCACCTTTGCTAGCCGAGCGTCACTTCGCTCGACGTTCACGTTTCTTTTTTCGATGAGTGCCTTCAATGCGTTCTATAAACAGAGATTGACTGCAAGCGAAAACGAGAGAGGACAAAAGAGTGGTGGCACTGAGAGAGAGAGGTGGCTTGTGTCCTTCCGCGTAACTTTTTCTTCTTCTCGAAAAACTGAGACCGTAACTGTGGGTCAAAGTTTGATATAATAAACGAAGAGCGATTAATTTATTACAATTTCGCGGATATGCACATCCAATGAATCAACAGCTGAGTTCTTATCTCACAGTAAATGATATGTAACGCATCGCACGTATAATCTATGACTATTTGTACAAAGTTCGCACGATCCAAATTCCTTCACATCGTGCCACACTCCGTCCAGTGGCAGTGCGTTACTGTGTCGTATGACGTGACACATGGTCATCGGAAATGCAGCTTTATAGAGAACGTACACCTTCTAACAATTTCGTAGCGGGGACTGGTAGTTCGATCGGAGATCATTGTCACAGAGTACACCAGAGGCGACACTCTCTGTCGGCGTCTTTGTTCGAAAACGCTGTCTCTTTAAACTAGCTGTGCAGACGAGCGGGAAATTTAAATCGAGCAAATCTACGTTCATGTCAATCTCTAATAATTTGTATTCTCTGTCTCTTTCCATAAGGTGGGTTTCCTTGTCTAGTGTCGCCTCTTGTTATATCTACTTTTTGCTCTTCTAATAAAATCAACTACATTAATTAAAATTAACGGGAAACGACATGTGGCGCCGTCCAGTGGCAGCGTGGGAAACTAACGAAACTGCAGTTTGAAAAACGCGTAGTTCACCCCGTTCGCCGGAGAGATGGCGTTACTGGTTCAATTTTTGTTGATGACGTCACTTTTCAAAAAACTGCGCGTTAATTTGAATTTTTAACAAGATATTAGAATGAAACTTTTTGAAAAATATGAAACTATTATGTGTTATAAACAGTTCGCACACTGTACTGAGTCTCTTCGGTAATCAGTAATTACAAAGAATTACATAAAAATAAATTTGAATAATTCGTAGATAATTTACAAGATATTCGCGCGAGAAAGTTATGAAAATAAATTATTACAATAATTAATTTATATGTCAGAGAACGAGTGATAGTGAAATTATTTATTTTTAGAATGTTACAGAATTTCTGTTCGAATAGATCCTGCGCGCTTGAGAGGTAAATCTCGAGTGACCGCCGTCCAGTTCGCCCGTCGCTTATCGCGTATAATCCGGCATGAATGAATTTACCCCCTGCTGTTGTTCTTCTTGGACGCTCCTTCGGACCGCAACCCTCTCGCGCTTCGTCTCTGATATATGTAATAATGAGTTACAATAAAATATATCGTAATATATTAATTAACAATTATTTTGCAAAATATCTGCTAGAGTAAGTTAATAAAAACGACGAATTTGAATAGTTACAACATCAATTTTATAAATAGATAACTAAAAAATTATTAATTACAATAAAATATATCGTAATATATTAATTAACAATTATTTTGCAAAATATCTGCAAGAGTAAGTTAAACAAAAATAATAAATTTAAACAATTGCAACAATAAATTTGTTAATAAATAATCGAAAAATATAAAATTATAAAAAAATTAACATTAAAATAATTATACAACATCCAATCAGAGTGGTTGCACGCTATTGGTGGATTACATGATGTGTAATTGGTCACTGTAAACTACCAATCACTCGAAGAGATCGAATTTGATCTATTGGTCGATTACACGATGTCTAATTGGCCACTGTAAACTACCAATAACTCTCGCAGTAGAGGGAGGTCAAATGTTCTCAGTTGTATTTTGGAAGTCGCGGAGGTCGGACTACACCTGTCAACACTTACCGGTACGAGTCAAGGATCCTATTTTATCGATACTGTGTTTGTCCCTGTGTTACCTAGTGTGCTACTACTAATGTTTAGTGTGCTTTAACAAATATTTTTTAATAAATACGTGGGTGTATTAATAAAATTTATGGTGTAATTCTACAAGTGTCAGTAACTTTAATAGTGTATTACCTGCATGCATATACGGATATATTAGTGTACCTAGTGTGCTACTACTACTGTTTAGTGTGCTTTATTAAATATTTTTTATTAATTATGGGGGTGTATTAACAAATTTTATGGTGTGGTTCTACAAGTATTAGTGACTTTACTACTGTGTTTCCTTAAGTGATTGTGCTTGTGTATACGGATTTATTAGTGTGTTTTATGGTGCGGTTATTTAAATGTTTTATTAATTTTTTATCGTTTTACTGTATTTTGTGGAGTGATTATTTAAGCGTTTTTATAAATCGTTAGTGGGTATTAGTGCACTTTATGTAACGATTATTTAAGTGATTTGACATAATGTTACTGGTGCTTTAGTGTAATTTATGCAATGGTTATTTAATTGTTTTGGCATACTTACTGGTGCTTTAGTGTAATTTGTGCAATGGTTATTTAATTGTTTTGGCATACTGTTACTAGTGCTTGAGTGCAATTTATGCAATGGATATTTAAGTGTATTGGCATATTGTTACTGGTGCTTTAGTGTAATTTATGCAATGGTTATTTAATTGTTTTGGCATACTGTTACTAGTGCTTGAGTGCAATTTATACAATGGTTATTTAAATGTTTTTACAAACGGTTACTGGTGTTTGAGTGTACTTTATGCAATAGTTATTTAAATGTTTTGACAAACTGTTACTGATGTTTAAACTATAGTTCCCTATGTGTTACGTGTTCCATTATATTTTTGCAAACGTTTACCATGCTCTCTAAAGTAATTACCCAAGTATTTTGACATGTATTTTCAAATATTTTACAATATTTCACGTTGTGACAAACGTTTGCAAATTTATAACCGATTCCTGCATGCCTCTATGTGTTTCTACATCTCAAAATCAAAAGCTTATTAAATGTTTGTAGAAGTAGTTGTCCGAAAACGTATATGTTATCAAAATGCAAATCGATAAATACAGTTAATTAATCGTTGTGATTGTTTTATGATTACAGAGGGTCAATTGCCAAACCGCCACATCCAAATCTGACCAAAGCAGCCAAGCAGCCAACCAACCAAATTGCCAACCAATCAAAAGCCAATCAACCTCTAAGATGCAATGCCTCCCACACGTGCTGTCACAGATGTTTTACCAGTAAAACGATCGCAGTGGTGCAAGTCAGCGATCGGTGAGTCGCATGCTTTACGATTCCTCCGGTTCCCATCATGTCGTAGGACGAATGGTCCGAAGCGACACGGGAACTGGTTGTATTTTATATTTTTGAGCGAGCATAGTAACCACGACTGTACGATCGTGCAAAATTCGTACAAACTGTTTATTTCATTTATTAGATCAGGTCAGGGTTTTCTTGTACAT